TTTCTGTCGGTGAGATGGGTCTCCTATAAACAACAAATTGTTGGATCTTCCCTTTTAATCCATTTTGTCAAGAGGTACCTATTGATGGGTGAATTAAGTCTGTTAACATTAAGTGTTAGTACTGATAGGTGTGTGGTGATTCCTGTCATTTAGTTGTCTTAGTTGTTTGAAGGTTTGATTGTGTGTACCTAAGTTGAGGTTACTCTTTACTGTCTTGCTTTTTCTTTCCTGTGGTTTGGTGCTGCCTGTCTTTTCATGGTTAAGTTGGGTTTCACTTTCTGTGTGCAGAATCCCTTGCAGAATCTTTTGTAGTGGTGGCTTTGTGGTCACATATTGTTTTAGTTTCTGCTTATCATGGAAGACTTTTATTGCTCCATCTATTTTGAATGATAGTTTTGCTGGGTAGAGTATCCTGGGGTTGAAGTTATTTTCATTCAGTGCCAGGAAGATCTCACCCCAAGCTCTTCTTGCTTTTAATGTTTCTGTTGAGAAGTCTGCTGTGATTTTGATGGGTTTACCTTTGTATGTTACTTGGTTTTTCTCTCTTACAGCCTTCAATATTCTTTCCCTAGTTTCTGAACTTGTTTTAATGATGATATGTCGTGGGTAGTTCTATTTTGATCTGGTCTGTTTGGTGTCTGGAGGCCTCTTGCATCTGTATGGGAATATCTTTCTCTAGATTTGGGAAATTTTCCGTTATTATTTTGTTGAATAGATTACGCATTCCCTTTGCTTGCACCTCTTCTCCTTCTTCGATGCCCATGATTCTCAAGTTTGGTCTTTTGATGGAGTCGGTGAGTTCTTGCATTTTCTTTTCACAGGTCTTGAGTTGTTTAATTAATAGTTCTTTGGTTTTTCCTTTAATTACCATTTCATCTTCAAGTTCTGAGATTCTGTCTTCTGTTTGTTCTATTCTGCTGGATTGGCCTTCCGTTTTGTTTTGCAGTTCTGTTTCGTTCTTTTTTCTGAGGTTTTCCATATCCTGGGTGGTTTCCTCTTTAATGTTGTCTATTTTTGTCCTGAGTTCATTTATCCGTTTATTCATCGTGTTCTCTGTTTCACTTTGGTGTTTATACAGTGCTTCTATGGTTTCCTTTATTTCTTCTTTTGCTTTTTCAAATTCTCTATTTTTGTTGTCTTGGAATTTCTTGAGTGTCTCCTGTACATTTTGGTTGACCCTATCCAGTATCATCTCTATAAAATTCTCATTGAGTACCTGTAGTATGTCTTCTTTTAAATTATTCTTGTGGGCTTCATTGGGTCCTTTGGCATAGTTTATCTTCATTTTGTTGGAGTCTGGATCTGAGTATCTGTTTTCTTCATTCCCCTCTGGTTCCTGTACTAATTTTTTGCTGTGGGAAACTGGTTTCCCTGTTTTTTCTGTCTTCCCATCATTGTCTTTGGTGTTGTTACTGTCCCTGTACTGTGTGCAATTAAGTATTTTCTAGCTTGTAATAATAACAATGGTAATATTTAGAATGGAAGGGTGAGAGGAGATGGAAAGCAAGAAGTTAAAGAAAAGGGAAAAACAAATATGCAGACAAGAAGGAGAAAACAGAACAAGGAATCAGACAAGAAAGTTTCAAAGGTATAAACAGGGAGCGTTAGTGTACTAATTGACAGTAAGGTGAACAGACATTAGAGAGACAGAGAGGATTGAAAATCAAAAATAAAAAAAAGATAAGAATAAAAATAAAAAATAAGTAAATGAAAGAAATATCTATATATAAAAATAAATTAAAATAAAATGAAAAATAGAAAATTAAAAAAAAAAAAAAAAACCAAAAAACTTCCAAGTTCAAATGCAATGAAGTTTCAGTCTTAATAATTTGGGTGTCCGTCTCAGTCTCCAATCCTGGAGATGGTGCCTCAGTAGTGGTTCCGTAGTTGTCTCATCAAAGGGGACGCATAAAGTAGAACAAAACTACACACACACACACAAAAAAAACCCCACCAAGTGTCCCAAGTTCAAATGCAATACAGTTTCAGAAAGTTTTTCAGCATGCAGGTGTATCGGTTGTTCTCTCATCAAAGGTAAGGAGAAAAAGAAAAAAAAAGAGTCTGGAGACAGTTCTGAGAATGGTATCTGCGGCTGAGGCTTGTCTGCCTGCTGCTGTCAGCCTGCTGTTGCTGGAGGCATTATTTATGCAGATCTCAGGGGTGAGCTTAGCACTCACCTGGCCCTGCAGGCTTTGTTTACTCAGAGTTCTCCTGTGCGTGAGCCTCTGCTACAAGCTTTTCCCTTTCCAAGCACACTGGGAAAGGTGACACTGCACTGGCTTTCTCAGGCCTGGGTGTTTATTTACAGTTCATGTGGGAAGTGGGTCTTCCCTCCTCTCCTATGGAGTTTTCCTCCCTCCACCACTCTCACAAGCTTTCCTGCTCCTGGTTGCTGGGTGTGCACCCCCACTCCCACCAGAGCCTCTCCTGCCCACCTGGCTTGTTTATTTACAGTTCCGGGAAGGATTCCCTTTCCCCAGTCTTTGGCGCTCAGGGCTCCACACCCTCTTTCCCTTGTGTCTTTATTGTTCTTATTGCTTATTAGTCAGTTTCTCCTTTTTCCCCGAGTGGGGTCAGTCTGTCCAGCCCAGGCTTGTCTGTGGGAGTACTGCGGTACTGCGACGCTCACTTTTCCGTGTCTTCCCAACCTTCTGGGCGCGGGCGACTGGCGGCCCAGGGGCCCTCCTTGTTTCTCCGCTTAACGTGAAGTGGAGATTCTCTGCGCGGGCTGGAGGTGTGGAGGGGTCAGAGTTTTGCCTCTTCTCAGTGATTATGCCTGCAAAGTGTGTCTCCAGCATCTCTCTAAGATTTCACTATAGGAGGATCGCTTTCTGCTTCCTCCTTTAGCCGCCATCTTGGAATCTTCCTGATTTCTCTCTTATATTCTGTTTTTATTTGCTTTTTACTCTTTCATCTAAATTTTAGATTTAACTTTTCAAGTTCCAGCTTTTGTTGAAATTTTGACTGAAATTATTTCGAACCTCTAGTTCAATTTGGAGAGAACTTACATTTGTCCATGAAGTGAATGTTTATGTCCATGAACATGGTATAGTTTCATTTATCTAGTCTTTTATAATGACTTTCTATGAAGTTTCATAGTTTTCTCTAAAGGCTTTGTACCTTTGTTGTTGGATGTATTCCTAGACAATCTATACTATTATGTTTAGTTTTTAACACTATTGTGAATAATAGTCCTTATTAGCATTAACATAGGCCTGGAATTTGCTGGACAACCCATGATGATCTGGAACTCAGCCCAGGCTGTATAGATCCTTAGATCTTAGATCCTTCTGCCTCAGATTCTTGGGTGCTAGGATTGCAGGTGTGTCTTACCATGTCCAGCCAATTGATTCTTCAAAGGGTTGTCTATCAATCTTGCTTAATTTTCTCATTCACTCTTAATAATTTTTCTGTTGACTCTTTGAAAGTACTGATAATTTTTCTTTCTTCCTTTATATCTTTCACTTATGTTTGTTACTTTAGTTCGTCAATTAGGCCCATCAATGAAGTCTTGATCTCAAAGGGAGTAATTTTGTCTTTAGGTATCATGTTTGCTGTAGGTTTTTTGTAGCTATTCTTTACAATGTTAAGGAAGTTCCTTCTATTCCTGGCTCCTCACACGTTTCTCTCTCTCTCTCTCTCTCTCTCTCTCTCTCTCTCTCTCTCTCTTTTTTTTGGGGGGGGGAGTTTTGTGTGTGTGTGTGTGTGTGTGTGTGTTTTGTGTATATTGTTGGGGATTGAGCCCAGGGCCTCACTCATGCTAGGCAAATGCTCTAACACTGGGCTACATCCCCTACCTCACCCCCTGCCCCTTTTTTCAAATTATGAATGAATATTGACTTTCATCAAATGGTTTTTCACATTGTATTAAATTTGTTAACATGGTGAATAGTTGTATGTGGTTTTGCAAATGATAAATTGACTTCTTGGAATAACGTAACTCAATTATAATGTACAGTGGTATTATTTTTCATATTACTAAATGATAGGATACTCCATTGATTGTTAAAACCCTGGTTTCAGAGTTATTTTTGGCTGCACTAGGATACAGAGATTTTTAATGTGAGAAGAGTACATGCTAGATTTGATGAAATGAAGTATTATCTTTTATAAATACCTTTTTTTTCCAATATTCTGTTCATTTTTAAGATTTTGCATCCATGTTCACTAGTTACATGAGGTAGTAATTTTCTTCTTCACTCTGCCTTTATTTGGTTTTGTTACCAAGTTATAAAATAAATTGGGAGCATTCCCTTTTCTCTCACAAAAAGTTGTACATGTTTGGAGTTATGTATTCCTTGAAAGCTTGACAAAAGACACCAGTAAAAGTGTTTTTTGGGTGAGCTTGGGAGATTATGGGAGATTTTTGTTTACCAATGCAATTTCTTAAATAGTTATAAACTCTTTTTATTTTCTATTCATGAGTCAATTTTGGTATGACATTTTTTAGGGAGTTTTTAGAGCTTTTTAGGGAAAGACACTTACTTTTCAAATGTGTTAACATTCTTTCCAGTCTATCCTCCATTCTGTGCCAGAGTAATTATTTGAAACTAGTAATTAGAGCATGTCATTTCTAGTTAAAATTTTCTTAACAGCAAACCTCCACAACCTCAGGTGAAGACCCTTTATGATTCGTAGTAACTTCATTTCTATCCACTTATTATTATACATACTATCTATTAAACCACTTAACTATTCTTTGAAATGGCATTACACTCTCTCAAGCCGCTTTGGTTTTACATATGTCACTCATTCTTTAGTATTACCTCACACTCTTCCATTAAAACTGGTCTGAAGCTGTACTTCTCAAGGCATGTGCCTCTTACCCTCTAGTCTGATTTTAATACTTCCTTTAGGATTCTGTGCATTACTCAGACATTAATTATGAAACATTACACTGTTCTGGTATCAGGAACCAAGCACCTGAAGGCTATATTTGAGTGAATGAAGAATGAGTGACTGAATAATTTTTTAATGAAAGTGTGTGTTTTGCTCACCAGTGACAACTGAACGCCCTGTTCAAGTGAAGGTGGTCAAAGTCAAGAAATCTGATAAAGGAGATTTCTACAAAAGACAAATTGCTTGGGCCCTTCGAGACCTTGCTGTGGTAGATGCCAAAGATGCTATCAAAGTATGTGTTCTTAATTTTTGACCTTTGTTCAGAAAGTGCCTTTCATTTTATAACTTAGCATTAATGTATTCTAAGATGACCTAAACTTGTTTTGTAGCCACCAGTCTACCACCTGAGAATTAGTCTTAACACAAATTACTCAACCTTCTACTTCCTCACCCGGCCTTCCACTCTTAGACTGCTAAAAATAATTACATATGTATGTTTTTTCATTCTTTCTGCTTTTTTAAAAGTACAGTTATGTTTATGCATAAGCTATATAAGCTAGAGCGATGTTACCTTGACTATGTATTTATTTTGGTATAAATTAGTATGGATTTTAAAGTAATATGTGACTCCTTTTAATCTTCATTGTTTTGATAAAATCTGGTTCAAGATTGTGTATACTACAGCCAAAGTGATCTCCTTAGTTAGTCTTTATGAGCTAATATGGAGTCATTGGCTGAGGCAGCCATGCTGGACTTTCAGAGCTGCAGCTTTCACATTTGTGGTTCAAGTAAAGGATGTGAGAGTGGAATTTTGAGGAGTTTAAATAATGAGATTGATAAAGATATAAACCTTATACTTTATACTTAAGCTAAATTCAAACTCCAAGGAAGTTGAATAATGTAATAATCACATTAAAGGACCACCTATACATCCTGGCAGTTTGAGGCTTTTCACAGCAATTCCCTGCTTCCAAAGAAATCAAGTAGAGCTCCTCTGAGTAAGTTAGGTGCTTCCCCTCCTCCTCCTCCTCTCTAGCCTTGCCCCTCATCTTCCTCTGTAGTCCAAAAGCATGTCCAGAACACTAGAGAATACTTTTACCATGTCCACTTGTGCTGCTGTTGGACTAACAGCAAGGCTTACCCTAATGTAACTCCAGGTGCACTTTAACTCTGTAAGTCTCACACATTTATTAAAAAGACACAAAGAAGTAAAAAAACAAAACAAAAAGACATTTATAAAGCACTCTGGTGAGTTAAAATTCTGGTCTTACTCTTACCTTGGCGTTAATCTCTGAGGATCAAAAAGCTGAACAAAATGCCAGGTAGTTGAATCAAGTACGAAGAAAAAAAAGCAAAACAATTTTAGGAGAACTCTGCTTCTCTGTATGATTCAGATTTCTTCCAAATGCAGATAATGCTTTTTCTTCAAGTATTTTAGTTAAAGTAGGCCTTTGCTTTCTTTGTAAGGCGCACCCAGTTTTTAGAAAAATGTAGAATGTGGAAACAGTTTGAAAAATGCTGAAAAAGGAAGGGAAGGAGAGAGGGGGGAAGGAAGAAGAAAGGGAAGGAGATTGGAAAGAAAATTAGTAGATACTTTCTTTTATGGTCAAATGTGATGAGTCTCTCCTATAATCCTAGCTGTGTGGGAAGCAGAAATTGAGAGGATCAAAGTTTAAGACTAGCCCAGGAAAAAAGTTATCAACACCCCATCTCAGACAATAAGCTGGGCAGGTAACAAGCACCTGTGATCCCAGCTGTGTGAGTAGTGTAGTCTGTAGCAGGTTCCAGGCAAAAATGCAAGACCCTTCCTGAAAAATAGCTAAAGCAAAAATGGCTGGAGGTGTGGTTCAAGTGGTAGAGTTTCTACCTAGCAAGTATGAGGCCCTGAGTTTAAACCCAAGTACAAAATGATGGTGAATATGATGATTACTATGGGGGTAACTGAATAAAGATATTTTTGGCAGATTTCTGTCTAAGAGAAAATACATTAAGAGCTTATTAGAAATGCACTTTGGTTAAAAAGACTTTTTCTCTTCACTAGTTTTTTCATGACCCTGGTGCCTTGCGTAACTCACTAACATTGCTGAATGCTTATTTGAATGCTTTCTCCAAGCTGACGCCTGCTTGCTGACTTGCTTAATGGATTTTTTTCATTTTGTGTAAGCACCTTGGTGTGTGTATACTATATGCGGATATAAAATATAAAATTTTTATACATGGACTGACATTAGCCATTTAGTATCACACATTGATTTGTGTGAATGTTGCCACTGGAGCACTCAGCTCTTTTATGGCATTATGGGAAGTATTCCCAGGAAAGAAATCATTTCCCATCAAGTTTCATGTTAGTTGCCAATAATCTTAGATATTTTTATGAGTAATAAAGTAATTACCTTTTCATTGTAATTCAGGTTTTCAATTCCTTTATCACTTAAATTCTGTTAATTAAGCTGTAAGTTGAACTAATTAGTAGTTCTAGGCCACTGGTCATACTGAAGGTTAAGTTCTGATATCTAAAATATCCCAACTCATCAAATAGAAGCCTAAAAAATTTCCCTTACCTCTAAGGTCTGCACTCACATTTTGTTCCCCCTAAATAATTGCATTAAATGAATATAATATTAAATTATTATCCATCTACCCTGTAGAGAATTTGAGCCTATTTTTTTTAATTTTGGAAGTGAAGGAAAGTATGCATTCATCTGTTTTCGTTTTCTATCTAATGCTCAAGTAGTTATATAGTCATAGGAAGAAATAGAAGCCTCACATGCAATTATTCTCTTACGTGATTTAAGAGACATGTAGTAAGCATAGTGGGATTCTTTCAGATTGGTTTGATTTCTTTGTCACTTGAAAGAACCTGAAGGCTAACCACAGAGTTGGCTTTTGAGTCACCTGAAATAATTCTGTATTTTCAAAACAGAAAACAATTAGGAGCAGCCCCTGCTTTTGACCTCATTTGTTCTTGAAAAGTATACCAGTGTGTAGATTATATTTTTTTCTCATATGTTATAATTAAACTGATATTCCTTACCAGTTACAAATAATAACACATTATCAAAAAAAAGATGTAACTCTAAAATGTCATGGGCAATTTAAAAAGAAAAAATAGGTCTGCATCATCGAAACTAGAGGCTATGCCTCCTATGCACAGGCCCTGAGTACAAAAAAAAAAAAAAAAAGAACCAAACTGAAGAACCATTGCCATGTTACTAAGGAAGCTGAGCAATAAAGCCACTAGGTGACAGCCTACACTTTTACTCAGACTTAAAGGGCATAGGAAAAAAATAGTGTTGTTTTTCATCCAGTTTCTTTAGGTGGCAAAGGTTTTGCTATAAATAGAATTCTATGAAGCTTTCACTCCAAGTCATTTAGCTGGCTTTAAATGATCTTTTTTCCCAATGAATAGCCTCAATTCTTTAAAAAAAGATTTTTCATTAACAATGAACCATAATCTGATTAAACAATATCTTTCATATGTTTTTATTTCAGGAAAATCCTGAGTTTGATTTACATTTTGAAAAAATATATAAATGGGTTGCCAGCAGCACTGCTGAAAAGAATGCATTTATCTCATGCATTTGGAAGTTGAATCAGCGATACCTCCGGAAGAAAATTGATTTTGTCAATGTTAGCGCTCAGCTCTTGGAAGGTAAAATTAACTAAAAAGGTATATATATGTAAAGGTATATATGTGATTTTACATACATGTTTATGTATGTAAAATCAAGTGCATCTTTGAGTGAATATATAATTTGACATTACTCATAGTAACTAGCATATTCGTTTACTGTATTTCATAAAAGGAATTTAATGTATTTTCTTATTGAAGAAATGATACTTGTTCATTGTAGGACAGACATACATCAAATAAAATAAATACAAATACTTATAAACCTACGTATATTTAAATGCTTTTTAATAAATTTACATTCTGTTTTCTAACATACTTTTTCATGTAATATATCACGAACTTTTTTTACATTATATACTTACCCTGCCATTATTTTTAATAGCACCATAGTATTCCATTATATGGATATGCCATAATTTATTTAATCATTTATTTTTAATTTTCCAACTTCCTTTATTTTAAACAGATCTGTGATGAATATCCTTATAGCAGTAATTTTGTACAGAGTGTATAGGTAACTTAAGAACACAACTCTGGAGTTACACTGCTTGAGTTCAGATTTTGGCTTTGCCACCTATTAACTATTTGACTTCACATAATTACTTAATTTCTGTTCTTTTGTTTCCCTTATCTCAGAACTAGAGATAGTATGTACCTCTTAAGTTTTATGAGGAATTAAATTTCTCAGTATATAAACATAATGAGGCAGTGCCAGTAATATAAAATATAGCTAACAAATGTTAGCTATTACTGTTGTATTATCAGCATAAAATCATTAGACATGAGCTTAATTAGAAATTTTTGATACATCTATCTTCAAGAATGGTACTATGAATTGGGTGCTAGTAGGCTTATGCTTGTAATCCTAGTGTCTTGGGAGACTGAGATCTGGAAGATCAAGGTTCCAGGTCAACCCAGGCAAAAAAAAAATTGCGAGACTCCATCAAGGGGAAAAAACTGAGCATGGTGTCATGTGCGTGTCATGTGACTCAAGTGGTAGAGTACCTGCTAAGCAAGCACGAAGCCCTGAATTCAAACCCCAATACTGCTAAAACAGACACCCACACCCACAGTATAAGCTAATATGCAGGTAAATCGAGTTGTTGCTCTTCATTTGAAAAAAGAAAGCAAAACAAAACTTGAAGCGGTAGCTCATGCCTATAATCCTAGCTATGCAAGAGTTTTGAAGCCAGCCAGGGCAAATAGTTCATGAGACCCTATCTCAATACTCTACACAAAAAAGGACTGGCAGAGTAGGTAAAGTGGTAGAGTGCCTGTCTAGCAAGTGTTAGGCCTTGAGTTCAAACCACCAAAAAACCCCCCCAAAAACTTAGATGTGTTCTAAGTTATATAATACACAGAAAGATTCAATTTGTCCTAAGTTATAGGTCAGCATTAAACAATAAAAGCCTCTAGATTCTTTCAAAAAGGTTGAAATATCTGAAATTGCCAATATTCAACAATTTTATACTTAGCTTGAAGCAAACTCTTCAGTTAGTTACTTGCCTCTGTCTCTGTTTTGTTTTGCTTACTCCTTTTTTTATTTGACCATCAACTTTCCTCTCCTTGAATGTGGTGTTCTTTCCCAGCACTTAATTGGTGAGCTTGCTTCTGGCTTTAGCCTTGGTGCCTGGAACTGGCAGAAGCAAGTCACATCTGTTAGACCCTGTGCTCCTTCCCCCAGAGGAACTGGGCTTCTCACCAACAGTAGTCCCCAGTGTTCTGGCACTTGAGTGTGTTGAGAACTTTATGGTAATTTTTCTTGCCTTCAGTTTTGGATTATTTTACTTTGAATAGCTCTTACTTATTTTTACCATTTCAGGATAGAACATTTCTGTCTTCAAACATGTATTCCCAGATGTATTTTATTAGCTAATACATATTTTAAACCAATATATTTCATTAGGAGAGCCATATAGAAAAATATATATTCTGGTCTACCTCATTAAGAAATATTACCAAAAGCAATGAGAAGAGTATTGCTGTCTTTGAGAATGATGTCTTTTTTTTTTAAAGTATTTAATTTTCCACAAAACAAAAATGCAGACATTTTTCATGTTTATGAACATGAACTCTAATTGAGATCAGTTTTTAAAGTACCAAGAATATTCTTAAGGATCTCGTTTTGAAGATCACTTTCTACAGATCAATAGCCATTGCTTTGGTTTAGTGTTCAGGGGATCACATTATTAATGTCTAAAAACTTGTTTTAGTGGTCCTTGACATCACAGCCATTTATTCCCTTAAAAACAAATGTCTCTAGGCCTTGGATGTCATCAGATAACAAATAAAAAATTATTACTACCTCCTTTTAAGAGCTAAGTAATCATCCAAGTAAGTTTAGACTCTTCTGATTATTAAGGCTAGCGTGGTGACATTGGTAGCTTGTATCGATGACAGCTGAATGTTTGAGTTAAATAAGTGGGGCTTTTCAACAGAATAAGGTTTTTAAAACCAGGAACTTGTTAATGGTTGAAGTAGAGTGACATTTTTGTTGACCTTTTTCATTCTTTTACTTGTGCCAGGTTTCTAAACGATTTCTGACTTGAATCCTTAAATGCCTGCCTGTACTGCTATCTCATGTGTCTTTTTACATGCCTCAAGCTTCGTCCTTCACAACAGTGTTTTGTGACTAATCCTTTGTGGGGGAGTGTCCGGATAAAACTTTGGTCCTTGAGTGAAAATAACTACTCTAAATGCATGAGTCACAACTGACCTAAAAATAATCCCCAGGAAATTATCTTGTTTTCCAGTTTTTGCCTCCAAGAACTAGTCAGTACTGTTTCTCAAAGAAAATAGAACAATAAATATACTTTTAGTCACTATTAGAAATGAATAAGAAAAATGAACCCTGGAAAAAGCTTCTTATGAACCTTTCTTTCCATTTTGTACTTTCTTTTGTGGTGTCTTTTGAAATTAATGTAACATGAGGTTCAGATGAGATGTGGGTAGTATTTAAAAAATTTATATCTGTATTTCTACCCAGCTAATATTCTGTGCTTACTTTCCTCTGCTTTTTTCATACCTTTTTACTCTCCAGAACTGCCTAAAGTTACAGAAGGTGCGTAACACCTTTTCTTCTTATTCCATTCCATGTTTTTATTACTTGCCATTGTTAATGTACTATTGGTTGTATATTTTATGAAGTTGTGTATAAGGATAAATTTATTGCAAAATCCATGTTGTAGTAAAACTAATGGTGGCATTCATTATTGGCTTTCAAAGGACTCTTTCAAGGGAGAGAAAACACTTTGAAGCAGTTATGATCATTAAAATATATATTTATTTGAAGTGTTTACTATGTACTAGAGCTGTGCAGAATGATTTCAGGAGTCCCTGCCCTCTAGTGGCTGATAAGCAGTCACACTGGGCAATTGAACATTTCCATGGCAAACTGAAAATGGCCTCATTCATAGGACATGGAGCATGGTATTGCCTCTCTAAAAAATGTATTTATATTTTGTTATTGTAATTGCCTGCACCAAAAATTTTAGTCCTTACCTTTTTTTTCTGGGATGTAACTAAATCTACCTCATTAATTATCATCCTTCAGAGTAATCTCTTTTTTACTTTGAATTCACTGACTTGTTCTGGATTAATGATGAATATGTTTCAAGTCATGCTGAGTATAAATATTAATTTTCACATAAAATCATAAATACTAAAGCATCCAGAATTTATGATTTCAATCATGTCCCATTAACTCTAGAAAATAAGTAACTTTTATTTAGAGTTGTAAAATTATCTCTTGGGGGGTTTCTTTCTTTCATTTTACCTCTGCTAACCTGAAGCTTTCTATAAGATGCGTACATGCTAAGTGTATTATTCCCGAAAAAATGAACTGAAACATTGATCTAGAAAATACTTCAGGCTTGACCTCTTGGTCGTTTGTTATGAAGCATAAAGACCATTTACATTTTTGTAATTTGAAGCCACCATGTTGTTGCTCTTCTTAGAGTTACTGAGAAAGTTTCCAGAGCTCGTTTTTAGCTATTGTATCCATTCATGTAAAAATTTTTAGTAAAAATAAAGTTTATTTAATATTTTAATTTAAATTTTAGTTCATATTTAATGTCAAAAATAAATTGTGGATTATAGCTGCATCTTGTTTCAATTAAGAGTTATTTAAAAGAAAAAAACCCAAAATATAACAAAGATGAAAACAGTAAAGTAAAAACATTACCTTGAGAAAAAAGGAAAGCAAATTGTTTTCTTTCTGAATTAATAATCATTATTTTCTTTAGAGCAGTAGCCACCTCAGGTAGGGAAAAAAAAATTAGGTTCATTTCCTCATTTTTTTGGATTTGTATTTTAGATTAATTTGAAAAATTGTGACTAAAGCCTACTTTAACATTTATGTTAATCAGTGTATTAGACTGCATGCTTTTTGTTTGCTATTTTTAGGACCTTATTTCATTAACAAACAATTCTTTATAAAAATAAGATTTGAGGGCTTTTTCATATATTTTGAATCATTCTTTCCAATTTTTTAGCAGCTAAACTTGACTCTGCTTGTAACTGATTTTACCTAGCTATATGTACTATGTCTTTCCCACTTTTTGACTATGTTATTTTGAATTTTTACCTTTTTTAAGAATCTGTTCCAAGTGGAGAAAATCAGAGCGTGACAGGGGGAGATGAAGAAGCGGTAGATGAGTACCAAGAGTTAAATGCAAGGGAAGAGCAGGATATTGAAATAATGATGGAAGGCTGTGAATATGCGATCTCAAATGCTGAGGCCTTTGCAGAAAAGTTGTCCCGAGAGCTGCAGGTGCTAGATGGGGTAAGACTCTCTTGTAATCTACAAATAAGTGATGTATAGCAAAGAGGGCTGGTGATGCTCATATTTTGCTGCCTTAGCACTTCAGCCTTTATAGTGTGATTATTGCTGTCTTTATCTATAAGTACATTACCAGCTGCCATCAGTCTTTCATTCTTCTTTTTCGAAAGGCAGAACCATTCCCATTAAGCCAGTGAAGGTGACTGGTAGTTTTGGAGTTTGGTATTTCCTTGATCTGAAATAAGGGAAAGAAAAATATAGCCAACCAGAAACTATCTTAGGGATTGATTCACAGCCTCTGAAACACTTTAGAATACTTCAGTGCCAAAGAATACCGATTTTATGGTTTGAAAAAAAAAAAAAGCAAAAATTGAAATGAGAGAAATGAATCTGAAATAAGTGAATCATGTACCAAAAGGGCATAGAATAAATGTGGTGAAAACGATAGAGCCAGCGAAATATGATCTTGGATTTGTCTAGTAAAATGGTTTCAGAATAGAGCCTTTGAATTTGTATGCACAGTTTTTGAGACTGTAATCTAAATATCAGCACTACTTACGTGAGAATAATATGAAACAAATCAGAGGTTTTTTTGTTTTGTTTTTAAGAAAAGGTGAACATTTAAGAAACTCTTCAGAGAATAAAAACATTTTAAGAATAAGGAAAAAGTTAAAAACTTAAAAGTTTGGATGCTTTATACATGAAAGTTGCAGAAGTCACAGAGTCTAACTCATGCCCAGAGAGATTAATAAGTAGTCCAATCTTAGAAGCTTTCAAAGCTCACTGGAAGCATAGCCTAAAAGAGATTTCAAGATAGTGAAGTGAAAATTGTCCTGGGCAGATTCAAACCCCAGAGTGTTACAGATTCTGAGCCCTGCTGACTCTTAAGAGTTTGGCTGCACTTACGGTTGAATTTTTGTGACTAATATATAAAATACCGTGAAATTGCAGCATCATGTAATAAAAGTTTTTCACTATACCTGTGTTTCTTGCCTTAATATGGTTTAGTGATTTATATTTTCTTTTCTAATTAATATTGCATATGTGTTCCAAGTCATCACATTACTTTGCAGCTCAGTTTTAAATTTGGCAACTTCCTTACTCCAGAGAACTTAAAATCAATAGGTAGAACATTTAGAAAACAGTGATAAGGGAGTGGTAGTTTATAACTGCTTTTCTCAGGGGAAAATCATAGTTACAAATGAAAGAGAAAGAAAAAAAGATGATAGAGCTATCTTTTGTCCATATGTTCTTCCACATCCTGTTAGTACCAGTCACACTGCAGCTAAAGATTAGTTCCATATTTCCTTCAAAGAATGGTAGAGCACTGCTACCTTCCCAACTGAAATTTTATATAAGCAATTGTGTTTTTATTTAGGGTTCTACATGGATATTAAGAAGTATAGAACATTTCTGTAGCTAGGAAGAGAAATGTTAGAGATGACATAGCCTAATTCCCCTAAAATTACAGAAATGAGACTGTGCCTTTACTGAACTCTGGGGCAGAACTGCACTTATGTAGTCTGGAAATACAGGATACTGAGGCATGGTCCCTAACCTTTATATAGAGGCAGGTGTACCTTCATGAAATACTGTGTAAAAAGTGAAACATGAGTTCAAACCCCAGTCCCACCAAAAAAAAAGAAAGAAACAAATAAACTGGCTGAGTGTAGAAAAATAAAGAGTGAAACATAAAGTGGTAAACTAAAGCAGATGTGTAGGTGTATATCAATCTTTGTTACTCTGCTTTCAGAGAGATTTGAAAACATTTTATCTTTATTCTTCTTTCATATAAACAACATGAAATGTTACTTTTGTCTTTCACTTTTAGGCCAACATTCAGTCAATCATGGCCTCTGAAAAGCAGGTAAACATCCTGATGAAATTGCTGGATGAGGCTCTCAAAGAGGTGGATCAGATTGAATTGAAACTGAGCAGTTATGAGGAAATGCTCCAGAGTGTGAAAGAACAAATGGATCAGATCTCTGAAAGCAACCACCTAATTCATCTTAGTAACACTAACAATGTAAAACTCCTGTCAGAGATAGAATTTCTTGTGGTAAGTATTTTTTTATAAATTACCCATACAAACAAACTAGTGGTATTATATAAAACTTAAAACTCATTTGTAAACATTTTCTAATTTCCTTATGGAAGCAGGACCTAAAATAATCCAAAGACCTAGTCTTAAGATTAACATTTCCCTTAAATTTCCCAAGATTCTATTCGCAAGTGGTGTGTGTGACTGTATTCCAGAATCACATGGACTTGGCCAAAGGTCATATAAAGGCCCTTCAGGAAGGGGATCTTGCTTCTTCAAGAGGCATTGAGGCCTGCACCAATGCTGCTGATGCCCTTCTGCAGTGCATGAATGTTGCTCTTCGACCTGGTATGTTCATTGGAGATGATGTCTGACCAAGCATTAAGACTAAAACTATAACTTGGTAGGAGGATTTTGACAGAAAATAACATGTCCCACGTGATTTAAGATTACATTATTAGCTTTGCAGACAAGTTTCACTTATTTTCCAACATATTTCTATTGACAATAAGAATTTTTTTCATTTCAGTTCCTTCTGAGAAACCACCAGTGACTCTAGTTCACACCATGATTTTTTTTTTCTTTATTTTTTTAAAGACCGGGTCCTGCTTTGTAGCCCAAGCTAACCTGAAACTCTCCATCCTCTTGCCTCAGCTTCACAAGTGCTGGGATTTTAGGCATGTGCTAATCACTGCTGGCTCTTACCATGATCTTTCATAGCACATAGCACAAAGAAGATGCTTTGGTTAGACCAACAAATACAAGGTTTTTCTAGCGTGTGGTTCTTAAACTTGAGTGTGCATCAGAATCACCTAGAGGGGGCTTGTTAAAATAGATTGTCAGCCCCCCATCCCCAGATTCAGTGTGTCTTGGCTGAGATCCTAGAGTCCAACAGTTGCCAGGTGACGACAAAGTAGAACCACTGTGCTGCACTGTCTTTTTCCTCTGGCTTGCCTTTTATAAAGTAGATGAGTACACCAGTAGAACACTGGCCTCTCTAAACCTCACATGTGGGTAATGTTAGAAACATAACCATTACAGCTGGGGTGGCAGCTCAGTCGTAGAGCACTTGCTTAGCAGGGGCAGGGCTCTGAGGAAGGAGGGGTGGTGAGTGAATTCATTGAGCACCAAGGGCCTCTTTTTGCCCTTATTAAATCACCTCAAGAAATATCGTTCTGATTTTAGGCCATGACATGCTTTTGGCAGTCAAGCAGCAACAGCAGCGGTTCAGTGATTTGCGAGAACATTTTGCTCGGAGACTGGCTAGTCACCTCAACAATGTTTTTGTTCAACAGGTAATTTAACTTATTATTAAAATTCATATAGGTCAAGTGTGGTGGCTCAAGCCTATAATCTTAGCTCCTTGGGAAGTAGAGATTAGGAGGATTATGGTTCAAGACCAACCCAGGCAAAAAAAAATTCATGAGACCCCATCTCAACCAGTGGCTGGGCATGGTGATGCATGCCTGTCAATCCAACTACACAGGGAAGCACAGATTGGAGGATCAAGGTCCAGGCAGCATGGGCAATGAAGCAAGACCCTATCTCAAAAATAACCAACCCAAAAAGGGCTGACAGAATGACTCAAGTGATGGAGTACCTGCCTTAGCAAGGATGAGACCCTGAGTTCAGCCATCTGTACCACCAAAAAAAAAAAAAAGAGCAAAAAATCTGGTATGGTTCCATAGCTTATTTGTATATTACCTTAAACTTAAATTCCCACAAAATGTCCAAACTTGGCATATGTTGACTGTTGGGACTGTTTTATTTTTCAATATTTGAGGTGAGAAGCAGGATTTGGCTCAATATTTTAAATGTTATAGGCTGTATGTACTTGTAAGAAAATGACCAGCTTAACTGTAAATAGTTGATTTAATCTTTACAGAGGTGATTTGTTTACATTTTTATATGGAAGGATATTATAATTAAGGATATGGCAACAACATATTAATAATATTAAGAGTTTCTCAGGGATTTGAATAAAATGCATTTTAATATCTAGTATCATAAGTTAAGTTTCTTATATTTTTGTCTCTTTTATTTTATTTTATTTTATTAGGATTATTGAATGGGAAAAATCTTATTCATCAAGAAATGCTGTCAGACAATAAGATATTTCTCAAATTCTTATAAAGAAAGTAACCAATCTGTTCTTTATTCCTTTTTTTTTTCTTTGCTCTACTTCAGTATTTTTCTGCCTATAAAATTCACCCATGGGGTGGGGGGAAGGTGGTCCAAACAATGTATATGCATGTGAGTAAATGTAAAAATGGTAAATAATGATAGTAAATAAATAAATAAATAACTCAAAAAAAAAAAAAGAAATGCTGCCAGAAAACATTGGATTCTGGCTTTGTTTTCATTTTGCAGGATTCTAAAACAATTGTCCTTATTATATTTTATTTCCAATTAGTTTACTCAGGCCCTCCTTCAACTCTATAACAGGTCCTACTTTCTTTCGGTTCCTGTGAGTACATCAAATTTGGCTCAAGCTTCTCTGATTTTTCTTTCCTCTACAAAGTTTGCTAAATTTAGCAGCAGAATCTTTATAGCTTACAACTTAACTTACTGATTTAAGCTGTTAACCATATTTGTAACAGTTGTTACGTGTCCCATTTGGCCTAAAAGGCATTTAATCTCATTTTTGCTTGCCTTTCTTCCTATCATTCTTTAATTTACTCATTTTTCTCCTTCACTTATGTGGTAATTGTTTGCCAGTGTTTGAGATGCACACCAGTCAAGGACGTGAGGTGAATGAGAGTCTGATCTCTCCCTCGAGCAGCTTACAGTCTAGGAAGAGATACGTAAATTCAGAAAAGATAGAGATGGTGGTATTGTGGGAACACAGAGGAAAACAACCTAGCTAAGCATGGGAAGTTGGAGATCAGGGCACACAGACCCCCTTTCACTTGACCTGACAAGTGTAAAGAAGAAAACAAATTTAAAAGTCACACAGGAAACTAATTTACATCTTTTACAGCATCGTTTCAGTAACATCCATTGCTACATGATTCTTAGTTTTTAGAAATAACACTGTTGACAATGTTGTCCACATTTCTAGGTGGCATAAAAATACAGTCAAAGAACAGCAGTCCCTTTTGTGCCCTTAACTCTTTTGTAACATGTGGGTTATGATTTTGCTTCTTTGTCTTATAAACTAATGGCTTTGTTTAAAGCAAATGCTTCCCATTTCTAAAAGTCTACTAGTAGATATTGTTTCATGTGAGTGATGCATGTTAAAAACCAGAGTGTTACACCCTGTGATTTGCTGCAGAAGGTGGAAGAGGAGGTCCCAAGTGCAAGAAAGAGATTCTCTATATGTTGAATTCTGTGTACCAGGTCACCTGGGAAGAGTTGGAAGACATGGAGATTTCTATTCCTAGTTGGGAGACAAACTGGCTGGGGAAATTTGATTAACATATGATGGTATATCTCTTTGCCAATCACCAACTATCCATTATATGCCTATTGTGTCCACACTGTTGTTCCTTGTAAGAATAAAAAGAATGGTTCCTGCCCTTGAGATACTCCTAAGGAGGAGATAAGACTAATGTAATTAAAATTCTACAGAAATATACATATAAATGGCTGTGCATGGTAAGGGCCAAAGAGGTTTAATCAAAAGTAAATTTTCTGAGGATTTAAAAAGTCTGAAATGAAATCAAGGCAGTACTTGAGCAGAATCCATGCAATGCAATTTATAGCAAGTGTATAATTGTAACATTTATAAATATTGTACAGAAGAATTGAAAGAATCTGTTGATGTCAACAGTAACTTAAGAACCTTGATTCACAGTCTTAATAAAATTCACAAATCAGTAAAATTAAAAAAAATAAAATTTAGAAACTGATCAAGTCAGCAGTTTTTATTTTTGGCTAGTAATAACTAAAAACTACCATCTACTTTCATTATCTTCTTTAAAAGTGACCTTTTGCACTAAAGAGAATAGGAAGAACTTAATTTCAGACTTTAACATTAAAGCATGTATAATATGAGCAGTTTGTTTTTTCTTACTGAGGTAGGCCAATAACATCTTGCATTTGGGACTCATTTGTGCAGAGCATGCTGTTTGTGATGCACCTCTCCTATGAATACTTACATAACTATACTGAGCCTTGAAATGCATCTTTATGTAAGATCTACTTCGTACTGTGATCTGAGTAGTATTTTTTAAAGTGACTAGCTTCATTTGGATGTTTCAAATTTACACACTCAGCTTCTATCAACAATGCACACTTTTGCTTGTAATTTTTACAATTACTAAAGATCTGTGTTACCTAAAAAAGACATTCAGCTAGGAGAATTAGGCTAGTCACAGGAATTATGTTGTTGAAAGCAGGCAGTAAGATTAAGGCTAATAAAATTCAGCAAATATTTGCATAAAGAATCTGCCCTTTTGAAAATTCTTCTGTGGGCTTTGAAAGATATTTTTGAAAGGGTAATGCTCTCTGCCTCCTCCCACGTGTTGGTTCTACACAGAGCTCACAGTTCTGCACCTTTCCCTTTAGCAGCATGGTGAGACTATTGATGCAAATGCCTTAGAGAAGAGGAAACTGAACTAGAAGTTGTGGAGTATTTTGCTATATGCTTAACTCTGGAAATTTTTCTTTCAGCATATTTTTCAGCAGCATTATACATCGTACAGTTAAAAAAACAAGACTACCCGTGTAGTAGATCACTGGTATTGAATCAAATTTTACAAAAATGATTTTCTTAAGTTCAGGTCACATTTTTCTAAACACATATTGGTGATCTCTGGTTAAAAGCTTAGAATTATGCTTAAAATCTATTTTCATGATGCTTATTGGAACTTTGCTCAGATTTTTTTTCTTTAAGAAAACAAAAATAAACATGTCATACCATAGAAGAAAAGAGTTCCTAATCTTGAAATTTTACTTACTCAATATTTGACTTGAATATACCATTTCTATTAGAAAGTCAATATAGCAAAGTGTGTGAGCATGCAGACATTAGATTCAAACTTCCTGAGTTCCAGGTCTTGACTCTGCTATGTCCTGGTTAGGTAACCTTGAACAAGTTAACTAACCTCTCTGTGCCACCTTAGTTGTCTTATCTTAATAATGGAGATAATAAAAATATCTGTCTCAAGGGCTGGAGATGTGGCTCAAGCAATAGAGCACTTGCCTACCAAGTGCAAAGCCGTAAATTCAAACTCCAATACTGCCAATAAAGAAAAAAGAAAAAATAATCTACCTTAAAGGGTAGTTGTGAGGACTAATGTGTTTATGTATATTCAGCACCTGGAACAGTGCTTGGCTATAGTAAAGTACTCAGTGTCAACAAATTCTGGTAATGTATATGCTACTGAAAATTTGTAATTCACTAAGATGTATGTCTTACAAAATGTATTCTTATAGTTGAAAAAATATATTTTCAGTTATGTTGCTAGTAGAGTTTTGACATTTTTTAAATGAAAAGTATATTACAAAGTTAATGTCAAGATTAAGATTTATGTATATAAAGTAGCTACAAAAGTATTGGGTATTCAAAAATTGTCTACTAATTTATTATTTGTAGTAAGAAACTTTAAACAGTGTCTTAATTTTTAAAATATATAAGGAATAAAATTCTTTACATATTAGAGTTCTACATGTAATAATTTCTATATTACTGATTAAACAATAAGTAATTTTTTGTTTTCTGTAGTAATTTTTGAACTCTTTTCTCTAAAATTAAATATTTTTTTGTTAACACTAATCACATTTAATCACTTTCAGTAGTAATTGTTTGAAGGTAATGATATTCTTTATATGAAAGTGAATTTTTCATGTAGTGATATTTCAGCTAACAAAATTTGGAATAGTAATATACAGTTTATAATAAACTGTAAAAGTCTCTGTACAGATGTTAATAATTCTTCCATTTTTCAAAAGAGAAGATTTTTAATGCTTGCACTTTCTTGACTTTAAGGAGTACGGCTTAACATGTAATCAGCTGAATAGTTGTAGAAGAACATAATAATTTTGAATCTTGAATGTTTGAGAAAAATTAATGAGAAATGTTGTTTGGAGTAAAGAAAACATATTTAGTAAAAACAGAGCTATTGGAACAGATAAGATAGAATAGGTCTGACAAATATTCTTATTTCAAAGACACATGATTTGGAGACATTAGTAAACCAAAAGCTAAAATGTTTACAAATGCCACATATCTTACACATACAGTGCTATAGAATTCTGTTTATTCTTCTGATGTGGCAATTAAAAACATTTCTGTAATATGTTTATATTGTCCAGCTATAGAAATAGGGACTAGTCCAATCATAATGTCTGTGTTTTATTTAACGTTAATTTTTTCACATTGTTTGCCTTTACTTCACAGAAAAGATGTGTATGTGCAAGCATTCCAAATTGAGTGACTTCCCTACTTGATGTGTTTCTTAATGCAATCTGCATCAAGAGGTTTATTTGCTTAGTAAATTATAAAATGATACAGTATTAGACAAGCTTGATTAAAACATTCATTCTCAAATCCTTTGAAAGATGTAGTTAATAGTTGATTTATCACAGTGTCCTTCTTACATGGTTATTTTATGGTGGTAGTATTCAATTGATTAATATAGGATGATAAAAATAGATAAGTAAGTACTTTGATTTTATTTTCTGGTGTGTGTTGTATTGGTTTTGCTTGGCTACATGTAGTCATTGTTTAGAATTTTCGACTATAACAATGATTTTTTGAACTGTTGATGTTTATTTACTTATTCGCTTATTCTAGGGTCATGATCAGAGTTCAACTCTTGCTCAACACTCTATTGAACTGACTTTACCCAATCATCATCCATTTCATAGAGACTTGCTCCGGTATGCCAAACTGATGGAGTGGCTAAAGAGCACAGATTATGGAAAATATGAGGGACTAACAAAGGTATTGATTGATGTCAGTTGCTCATTGAGTATACAGCATAATCTTTCAGAATCAAGAAGTTGTATATTCAGTCCCCCAAATTTGAAATACTGAAGTATATTCTTAGCAAAGCAAAAAATAACTGAATTTCTGAGTGTTTATTAAGCAGGGATAGCATTTATTTACTTGAATAAAGAAGAGCTAAATTTTGAATTTCAGTATAAAATAGTATTAAGCCATATATATGGTAGCCCAACACATCAAATATTGTTCTACTAAGAATTTATAGTCTGTTCTGTGGAAAAAAAAGAAAGAAAAAGTACTCCTTTGTTAAGTAGGCATTCCACTGTGCCAGACACCTGGGGGCCTAACAAGTTAACAAGCTTCTGCCTCTTAAGAGCTTTAAGTCTGACTAGGAGAACCACACATAAAACACTTAGAAAAAAAGTAAATGCTAACCTTGGAAATGAGTTTAAATATATGGCAGTTTAGAGAGGAGCTATCTAAGTGTTAAAGCCAAGGAGGAGAATTCATGGAAGATACTGGACTTCAGTTGCATTTTAAATAATGAGTGGAATTAGATAACCAGAAATAAAGGAAGGGCATTCCAGGGGTGTGTGGGAACAAGATGTGCAGACAAAGGTGGGGAATATGTGTCCTTGTCATACATAGGACAATGAGGAATTTTAGCGTAACTAGAGTAAAAATTTCATACTCTCAAGCAGTCAGAATTATGTTGAAAAAAGATGAAGTGTAGTACCTAATTGCATTCCTCAAGCATGGGCAAAAGTTAGATGGGGAAAATTAAGAACCTAAGTAATGATTCAGGTGAAATGAAGTCTTAAGCCACAAACATGGTGAGAGGAATAGAGAGATAATAAAAACCAACAAAGAGACTTCAAAGCAGAAACAACAGGATGGTGCCAAACTCACCAGTGTTGGAGATGAGTGGTATACACCAGTGACTAAAATCAGCAGTATGGGAAGATCAGCCATTCATTCAGTGTTTGTATTGAGCCCTTAGATGCAAGATTGCTGTAGGCACTACAGATACAGCATCAAGGGAAACAGGCAAAAACTCACTTTTCAGAGTGCATGTGCTAGAAGAGAATATAGACAAAAAGTCAGTTACATAGTATATTAGAAAGTATTGCCTAGTGCTCTGGAGAAAAAAAGCAGGAATGCCAAGACTTGGAGAAGGGTCTGGTTTCAAGTAGGGTGGTTAAGGGAAGGAGTCACAAGAAGGTGGCATTTGAGCACAGATTTTACAAATAAGTAGGGGATGATGGTTTCTGGAAGAAAATTGTCCAGGCATATTGCAGGTGTCCTACAGCAGAGCTTGTCTGGTGTGCTAGAATTCTGAAAGTGAAGCCAGACACTGTGGTTGCAGCCCAGTAAACAGAGGACAGAGCCTAAGTGGGGGCAGGGCAGATCCCGGAGAGATGGAGGGCCACTGGAAGGATTTTGACTTTTATTGTCTATACATGACATTGGAGAGGGGTGAGAAAAGGGCCTTCAGCAGTGTAATGACACAATCTGACTTAGATTAATAATGGCCATTGTAGCAGGAAGCTGGAGGGGCAGTACTTTTCTGGCATTTTATAGTAATCTGTCATTTAAAAATTGAACATCAGTGTTGCTCTTTTTAAAAAGTGAGCTGAAGAATTGCCACCTGTCTATCTCAAATATGTAAATAGCTAGTAGTAGTCTGGACAGTGCTGGCTGAAGAGTTTAATTAAAATTCTGAGAAACATTTAAAATGTTTTATCTTTTAAGATTTTGTGACTTTGAAGTTTAAAAATAAAAAGTCTTAACTAGCATGTAATTCTTTTAATAATTTAATAATAAATTATATGGACAGTATGACCCTAAGGATATCTTATTTTGGAAAGAATGGTACGTTTTGTCTTTGAAGTAAGAATACTGAAATCTAGCCAGACTTTAGATTCATGCTTCAAGAAAAGACAGAGGGTTAGGTGGAGAAGTGGGATACTGAGGCAGATGATACATTCCTATGAATGTACTGATGTCAACATATTTGATAGTAGGACATGCTTTTATATGCCTGTCCTCAAATTTTCTCTTGGAAGTACTTTTACCCATTTAAAGTAAAATCTGGCTCCTTTTGTTTCTAAACTGAGATCATAAGAAAGAGGATGTAAATCCTGGTAAAATAAATAATATTTTTAAATTATAATTTAAAAATGGTTTTCAAAAAGGAGCTTCCTCTCCTGAGGTGCATTTACATCTTATCTGGCTAGGTATTTTAGGTAAGATTATTTTTCTTGTTGTGTTATATTTTGTTTTCTTCTGTTTTGTTTTCATTCAATAGAATTCTGATTTGGAGATATCTTAAGGAAAAATATTTACAGTATGGGAATTCTTTGCCTTTTGAAGCTTTAAGAGGATTAATATTTTGAATAATTAAACATAACTTATATCTCCTTGAGTTTTGTGCCAACAAGTGCTTTGTCCCCTAGTGAATATTCAAATAAGTAATCAATAAGCTTTTTGCCTAATTGTGTTCTCAGTGAGTATTATTGCCCTATTTTATATGTAATGCAGTATTCATGAATATAATTTAAAGTGAAGAAACAAGACTAGAGCCAACTAGTTGTGATTTATAGAATCACTTTCTGCTCAGAGGATATTTTGAGTGACAATATTAATGAGCGTTTTAAACAAAATTGACTTATTTTGTAGGACTGTTACTTGATTCTATGGTTTTAGCTTTTGGTAAATGATATTTTTTTTTTCTTCATAATCTAATTTGGTTGTTGAAGTATTACCAAAAATAGGAATTTTATTTTAAAATGAAGAAAGGAAGAAAGAAATGAAAGAAGAGGAAGATAGAAACAGACAAACCAGTGTTCCTTTAATAAGAAATAATACCTAAATCCTGATAGCTCTTTGTGCTTGGTTGGGGATACACAGTTCATGGTAGGAATAGAACAAAACTGTCTCAAATTCTTGAGGAATAATAATCATTAGTTATTCATTGCCTACAACTATACTTACCCTGCATCTAAGCAAAGTTGATCATTTTTGATATACATTTTTGGAGCCTCTGGAAGACAGAGGTGCTTTGTTTATATAGTTCAACTGCCAAGATTCTCTCCTCCCAAGGCCTGCAACCTCCATCTCTTTCTTTAGGTTGTGCGTGTAGGGCAATTAATAATGATGGTCTATCTGTGATTGAGTAGGGCATAGCTTTCCTCTCCTATAACCTGAGATTGACAGTCAATCTTGACAATTACTCAGACCACTCTCAACCTTAGTTCTACATGTGGAGAATTTGCCTTACTGCGTAAAGAAAAAGAAAACACATGGAAGTCTCTGGAAGACTCTAAAGTCAGCACAAAAATACAATCAAAAAGACCTGAGATAACAATATTTAAACTCAAGATACTTAAATTTTAAGTTAGCTGCTAAGAGGAATGCATACCTACAGTTGAGAGACATCTTTCACCATTCAATAAATGAATGCATCAATATTAGTAACACATCTGATCATTCCCATCAGTGAGTTCTGTTGAGTACCAGGAAAAAAGGTCATCTAAGTCATTCAAGTCCCATTGAAAAAGTGAAACAGCCCACTGAAATAGGAATTAATTTTAAGTTATATTTTAATTTATATTTGTCTTCGAAGTTATACAAAGAGCATGTGAAATTACAGAGGTTATATGGAGAATATATATGGCCTACAAATTGAAAAGGGGCAGGTCCTATAGTATGTTTGATCCAAGTACTAGTTTATAAAATATCCAAGAAAAACCTGGTGAACTTTGAGTGAATACACAATTTTTATGTCATATACTTTGGTATACTTGATTTTTATACTTGGGCTAAGTTTACCCACCTGTGGTGGTTCATGCCTGTAATTCCAGCTACTCAGGAGGTGGGCCCAGAGGATTGAGTTTGAGACCACCTGGGACAAAGTTACCAAAAGACCCTATCTGAAAAACAAACTAAAAACAAAACTACTGTGTGCGGGTAGGCCCTGAGTTCAATCCCAAATACCACAAAGTAAATAAATAAAGTAAGTAAACCTGTTGTTAAAAATTACATATTTATGTAAAATAATAAAGGACATCAAAACTTAGATTCCACGATAAATTTAGAAGAATGGCGAGGAACATTTTTCTGTGAATTTATTTAAACTTATTTAAGTTCTGTAATTGCATGAACTTAGGACTTGGAAAAATACATGATCTCCACTGGTGAGGGGTCCTTCCTGAGGGCAGAAGGCATTTATATGTGATGATAGCAGATGTGATGAAGAAATGAGTTTGCATGCTAGATAATACATGTTTTCATTTAAGTACAGCTAATCAGATCTGTTTGAGAAAATAATTATAAAAACTGTGAGATGGACTGATTAAATTCTGCTTGAAAATAATCTATTTGGGATAATACCCCAGGGTGACAAAGGCTCAGTGACACTAAATGTTCCCCTCCATTGTCAGCAGCACTGTTAAACAGCATAGCAGTATGCCCATACACTTTTCCTGTAATTCTACCCTTTAGAAATTATCCCCAAAAAACAATTGATTAAAGATAAAAAGCTTACTGTAACACTGTCTATAATAATACAACACTGAAACCACTTTGGTGTCCTGTGTTAGGGAATTAGTTACTAAATTTTGGTACACCAAAAAAGTGGAGTACAGTACTGTCATCACAACATGAGACAGAAGCATGATTGCTCTGCTTCTTTTGTCCTATCCAGTATGATGGCAGCACTATTTAAACTATGCAAAAGGTAATATGTAAAAGTGAAAATGTAGGTGTGATTATGTTTGACTTCATATTTTTGTAAATTGTTAATGTTATGATGCCTATTCAGCTTTTTAAAAAGAAAACAGCCTACTTTTTAATACCCTGTGAAATGAAAGTTTTGGATCAGAAAATTTACAATAAGCAGAAAGGGAGGATTTTCAAGTGGAAATTGTTATAAATGTTTTATTAATAAGAAGTACATGTTATGTTTCTTTTAAGAATTACATGGATTATTTATCCCGACTCTATGAAAGAGAAATCAAAGATTTCTTTGAAGTTGCAAAGATCAAGATGACTGGCATGACTAAAGAAAGCAAGAAGTTTGGTAAGCTTAGGCATGGCAGCTCATTGTCTTCCTGTAAGAACAGTTTTATTTATGACTTTTAAAACAAAGTGGAAGAGATACAAAGAATTCATGAACGAGGAGAATTCATGATTTATAGATATTTCAAAGAAAAATGTATATCTGTGTTTTTTACTAATTGAAATTCTACAGTATGTAACTGACAGCAATTGTGTTTTCGTGTTATAATTTAAAAATATATATTCATAGGGAAAGCAGTTAGTGAGAACATGAAGTGCAGTCTGGTAGAAAAAATAAGAGACTGATGTTGAGAGTTCAGTTTCTGAGTCCCTAAAAGACCTTTTCCACAATCGAGAGCGAGTCCTTGATCTCCTAAGTCATTGCTCTCTACAGAGAAATGAACGTGATTCCTGGCTTCTTACTTCTTGCTGGCTATTTTGAATCAAAAAGAAAGTTTATTTTCTCCCCTGCCCAATGAGCTATAAAAATGTTACCAAAATTTCCTCTATAATTATCTTATTTTTCAAAAGCAATATATTTGGGACATGTGATTTGTGTTGCTTTTAAATGTTTTAAATGGGGAAAAACGTTATTGGAAAGAACAGCCAGTGAGAGTATCAAGTTAAGGAAGATAATGTGCCAAGGCCACCTTCTGCTCTTGCATGTATCCATCTCTGGAGTTCTTTTTTGGATGAAGTTCTGTGCCTATTCCAGTCCAAACCTGGCCTTAAAGGGCTACATTGTGTACTCCTCAGTGTGTCTGCATAGCTCCCCTTTAGAATAATGAGTTTAGCATTCACTTGTTGAAAGAGCCTATGCCCTAAGCAGTTTCAGTAATCAGAAACAGAATTGAAAATTGGTAACACATACTTCCATTCTTTGCTATAGGACAGAGAAGACTGTCTTTAATAGGTAATTACTCTGTAATTCACTGGTTTTTTTTTTTTTTTTAAATACAACACCAGTATATTAATTACCCTAGTCCAGACATTTGAAATGGTTTTGAATTTGTCTGTATGTATGCTGCACTCTGAAGATACTGATGTGAATCTTGGGACAATAGGCTTCTGGTAACAGAAATGCTAACTCATCCTAAAGGTTAATTGTTCTTAAACAGCAGTGTGTTTATATCCTTGTTAATGTTTCACTGTGGGTATGTTATGCCTTTTTTGAGCAAAGAGCATATTATTAATCCAGTTACATGTTTAATGTTCTCATTAAGTATATTGTCACCCTTGTTAGTGAGCCATGCTCTATTGAGAAATCTCTCTTCTTTCTCTTCAGTGTATGGAATAAGTCAGATCCACATTAAGATAAATAACTAAAATATAACTTAAACCAAATATAATAGTTTCTTAATAGGATCATTGCCTTAGTCTGAAATCTAAAATTTTTCTTTTCTTACCCTTGATAAATTCTTAAATCTTGTTAAAAAATATTTTTAGTTCAAGGCTGGAGATGTGGCTCAAGTAGTACAGTGCTAGGCCCCAAGGTCAAACCTCCGTCGTGTGAAAATATATACATAGGACTTAGGGCATGGCTCAAGCAGCAGAGCACCTGCCTAAAAAGAATGCAAGCATGAGCCCTGAACTCAAACCCCAACACTGCCAAAAAAAAAAACCACTTCACACATGTATGTATACTTCATTCATCTAATATAGGTTTAGAAGGTACTTTTATAATTTTAAAAGTATCATGTCAAAATTTTATCTTTCCATGTAGCTACTAATAATTATAATTAATAATCTAGAAAATTATAGGTTCAGATACAAGAGAAAATAAACTAACTCAATGGATAAAAATGATTTGCTTCCTCTCTGAAGATCTGACTTGTTAGCTGACATTTTAAGATTGAATTTCAAGTTAAATTCAAATGATTTCAGAAATTCTGAATCAAGTAGAATATAAATTTTTCCTAAGTTTTTTTAATGATAAAGGATGTTTAAATTAATTTTAATAGTAATTATAATTAAAATAGAAATAAAAATTTGGAAAGATAAATTTTCAGTTAGTCAGAATTAAGTAATTATAAGTAAAATTTAAATCTCTTGCTTTGAAAATTCTGGTTCACATGCTGATAAGAGTAGATTCCAGTAAGAATAGTGCAATCTTACAAAAGCAAACTGTAGAGTCAATGTAATCAGAGTCAGAGGCACACATCTCTTTTTTGAACCTTTCATTCCAGTCTTTGACATCTACTTATCTCATATAATTAAAAAATATGTTAAAGATGCCTGGAAAGTATTTTTTTTTTCTTTGTGATAAGGTCTTTATGTAGATCATGACTTTTTTGCTTAGTAGATTTACTTTAGTATACTCAGAAACAGAGAATTCCGCCCCCAGGATTGATATTTTGGTGGGGTTTTTCTTTTATATTACTCAAATGTATGTAGTCAAATGGCAGGAAGGAAATTTAGTAATTATTTTTAAAATCACCCATTTTTTTTCTTTTTATAGTTAAGATACCTACCTTAAAGATAAATGAATCATTAGTGTGACAAGTTAGTAGCTATGGCTTTTGCCTTGAAGTTTGGCAGGAATATATATCTTAACTGTAAGGAAAAAAATGGATGGTTTATATATATATGTGAGATTTTAGTCTTAAAATATATACATTTGCGTAATTATTGCCCACCTGTTTAATATTCTGTTCTAAAATGTTAAAAATAGTGAGCACTAATCATTTTATCTTGTTTCTCCATTAAAATAAGAAATCTTATTGATTCCAAAGGTAGTTGAGTATGAGGCTGAATTCAGGGCTGACTGGAACAATAATTCAATAAATATTTATTGATCGTTATTTATAATAAAGCACTGTGCTAGGGACTTAAGATATAGCATTGAACAAAGACCTCCACTCTTATTAAGTTTATATTCTACTAGGGATTATTTAAGGATATTATATTTTATCTGACTGTTGTCACTTGTTGCTTATGATGAATTTAGACTGTTTTTATGAGCTTCAAATTATAATAATAGGTACTACTAGCAGCTCTATTTTGGCTACTAAAATAAAACTATATGAAATAGGCTGTGCTCTGGAACTGATGAAAACAGCAAAATAACACATGGACTCTGTTCAAATTGGCCGGCTGTTAGCTGTGCCATCATCCCTTTTGGCCACTTTGATATCCATGCTTCTTGTTTCGTACTTCCTTGAGCTTCAGGTAGTGAATGCTGGAAGGACATAGTGTCACTGGTATGACCATCTAGAAGTTTATACTCAGGCTTTGTCTTAAAGTGTGGCAGAGATGTTGTTAGTTGACACATTGTTCTCTGTTTTTAAGGTATATTTGGGTTATAATTCTTTAGTTTCATTTCAGTCTTTGATTTATTTCTCTGCCTTTCACATTAACTTCTCATTTGAATTTGGAATGTTTCACAAGATAAGCTGTAGAACTGACCTATAAATATCATATAGAACAAAGTTTTAGAATAAAAGAAATGCTAAATGACCCTAGAGAGTTCCAGTTCAACTTTACCTTCCATACATACCTCCTGGTTGTTAGTTTGTGATACATGCCTTGCATTTTAAGTGTGCACAAACTAGTTACTGAGTAATTCAGCTTGATATTTGGTTTTAATTTTAAAATGATCTTAAAGCTCTACTTACATCATTTTACCTGACGTAACATAAAATTATTGAGTTCGGTAGAAATTCCTTTCAGGAGTTTTGAGGGAATATAAGATTGTTAATGTCTAAATCTACAAGTTTATTCTAATAAGTTCCCACACTATTAAATTATTACTTCAATTACATTTTCTCAGGAATCATTCTCAGGAATGATTGTAAAATCATTCTTTTAAACTTAAGTATACCAGCTTCCTAAACTAAAAAAATCATTTAAAAGTTTGTGGGAGGGGATTTATAAATACAGATGTTTTCCCTGAGTAGTTGAGTAAAAACAGTACATTAAAAAACTAGTAAAACTTTTTCTTTCATAATTTCTCAAAACAGTAGCTGCCCAACTAAACATGTGTTTGCACCTCTCGTTACCTGATACTCCTGGTTCTTTGCATGTGTCTTTTAAACTAGAGCTTTAACTTCCTCTTGTGCATGGTTTGTGCAAATTGCAGTTTATTAACTTGTCTTTGTCTTTGATGCTTGCAACCTAATCCATCACAGCTACACTGCCTCGAAAAGAAAGTGCTGTCAAACAGAAACAGAGAGTGAGTATGCTTAGTGTTCTAGTAGGTATTCTCAATGCATGTTTGTGTAGTGTCTAGAAATTTGTTTTTTGTCTTGAAAAAAGTTAATACCAGAATATTGATTGCACTGAATTGCCAGGTATTGGAGAAAGAACCCAACATGATGGTAGTGGTTATGGCTATATCAAAGAAATAAGTAATATAGTTAAGATTATATGGAGAGGGGTAGAACTTTGTGTTCGAAATTTTTGAAAAGACTTAACCATTGTATTTCTCTTTTCAGGCTATATTTTAAAAAGCTTTAAAAATTCTTGTAGGTATGGTCATATTTTACATAATGAAGCCAAAATTTGTTTTGAATTGTTTCTAATATGCCTTCATTGTCCCTCTGACCACTAGCAAATAGTACAGCTTAACTGAGAAATATTCAAAAACAATATTTTTAGAATAATTACTGTTTATATTTAATTCTGAATCAGAACATCAAATTTTCTTCTAAAAATTGAATCTTTTCATTCTTTGGTATGTAGGGGATTTTATGGATACCACCAACACAGATGTCTCTTATTAATATGGTTAGTGATATGTGTATAATATTTCAGTTGCATTTTAAATATAACAAGTTTTCAGGATGTTTTTTCCTCTTAGTTTTGAGAGAACAATAGTGAATGAGAGTTCACCTACCAGAAAAACAGAGTTTCTAGGTTCAGGACTATATTAAGTTGAATTATATATAATTGACCTTTTTTGTTGAGCAAAATGATCAAGTATTTCCAGCTTCATGTGATTCAACCTAATATATTGATTTAAGGTGGCAGTTTTCTTCAGAAAATACTACAGTCATGTTAGCCAGTATGGTACTCTTTGGCCTTCATCCATATTCCTGTCTTTCGAATGGGAAAGAAATCCCACTTTAGTCTAGAAATAGTACCAGACAACTTTATCTTTAGGCTGGGACTAAGATAGGACTTGGCAGGGCATAAACTATGATTTAAGGTCCTTTCAGTTCTACTCCAAAGATCAGTGTAGTTTTGCTTCTTTTTACAATATCCTCTGTTATGGGATTCACATGTTAATGAAAGATAAGGACACTCTGCAACCTATCCCATGTAGTAGCCTTGTGTGCTAATAGGATTCCTGGAAGATCAAGATAGTAGAAGGAAGCTCTGATATTCTATGAAGATCATAACTTTCAAAGTCTTATTATTTCTTAGGTCTTCATGGAAGTTCTGGGAAATTAACTGGATCTACATCTAGTCTGAATAAACTCAGTGTTCAGAGTTCAGGGAATCGCAGATCACAGTCATCTTCCCTGTTAGATATGGGAAACATGTCTGCCTCTGATCTCGACGTGGCAGACAGAAGCAAATTTGATAAGGTAAGAACAACATATCAAGTTCTTCTTAAACACTAACATTAGTTTTCTTTTCTAATGGAAGTTTGTGATTTAAGTGTGTTCAAAAATTTAGGTTCTTTGGCCTCTCTTTAAGACATTAACCATGCCTTACTTTCTATTTCAGAATTGAATTTAAAAAAAAAAAAAAGCTAGTCAAATGACAACCAACATATAAGTTATAAATTGAGTAACAAAAGCTTTATTAAAATTTATTTGCTACAAATTATAAAGGGCTTGTATCTTACATCTAAATTGTTTAAGGAATTACATTGAAAAAGAGGAAATAACAGTTGCACTGCATCAAATAAGTTTTAAAACTTTACGTTCATTCCTGTTTCCAGATTTCATGTGAATAACTGTAAGTTCTCTTTTAGGTATGTTCTGTGGTCGTGTAATAATACCTTGGTAATACTGCACTGCCCTGCCAGTCTTGGAAGAGTTTGTCTTTGGGATTCTTTGGGATTGTAGATCCATGGATAGAGATTATTGATGATTTTCAGATCCATGGCCCCTGCAAAAGAGTGAAGTAAATGTGGAGTGTTAGTTTAAGCATTTCATGCAGTTCTGCATTATAGGATCATTTTGGTTCTCTTTAGATCTTTGAACAGGTACTGAGTGAACTGGAGCCCCTGTGTCTGGCAGAACAGGACTTCATAAGTAAATTTTTCAAACTGCAGCAACATCAGAGTATGACTGGAAATATGGTACGGCTTGGGTTTATTTTGGCTAGTACTTATGATGTATAACATAATTAGCCTAATTAATATGTGGTTTCAATTTCACTATCCAAACAGAAAAGGAAAGGATTGTGATGAAAGGATCTTTAGATATTTTTGTCATACCACAAGATAATAAAAACAGTGATAGTTGGAGTTTGGGCATCTTAATAGTCCAGAATGTCTTAAGCCTAGATATACTCTAAATTAATTAGTGTAAAAAAAAAGGTCTAATTTTACTTTGCAAAGAACAAATACTAAAAAACAATTTTAACATTTTAATAGTTACAATTTTTAAAGAAACGTTTGAGTTTATATACTAACTATAGTGTAAGGGTAAAAAAACAAGATCTCACATATGAGTCTTGACTGTTTTATGGCTTTGTTACTAAGTAACTAGTGACCTTAAACCAATCATTTAATCCCCAGTTTTCCTCTTCTGTAAAATGAACATAATAATGCCTGTTTAGCATGCCTTTCAGGTGGCATAAATGTGGGAGAATGAAACAAGAAATTTTGTAGAATTTTTTGAAGAACTTAAAGTCACAATGCAAATGGAGTGATTTTTAAATTAAGGTCATCTCAGATATTTATGCCTGAAAAAAATTTTATGCTTCAGACAACCAATACATAAAAAGCAGTCATAATACAAATGAGCAATTCATTGTTACCCAAGATGGTTGAGAGTTCATTGTTGCTAATGATAGTGGTGATAAATTTGCTTACTTGTTGGCATCTGTAAGAATTTCTGACAGCATTTTTTTAATACTGAAGTTTTATTAGAATGATTGATGACATTTCTGTCATTTTTTAAATTCTCTTTCTAACATTGTTTTAGACATTTCTATTTTTTGTTGAGCTGACTTCCCATTTCCAGTACCTTCCTAGCATTGTGCATTCTCTCTTCACCTCCTCCACCTTCCCACCTTGTGCACACACACAGATACAACTTCTTACCCCAGGCCAATTTGCAGATAAAAGAACAAAGCATTTCTTGAATATTTTTAGGGAGTATACTAAGTTATATAGCTTTATTGGTAACTACCATTAAAAAAATCATTTTTCATAATGTAGTCTCTCCTAAGCATTTTAAGACTGAACGGACTTTTGCTATAGGAACTAGTCAAATTGTTGGCCGTTTATTATGTAAAGTACCTAACTAATTTTTGCAGACTGAAGCAGAGGACCTGGACGGAGGAACTTTATCACGACAACATAATTCTGGCACACCCCTGCCAGTTTCTTCTGAGTATGTATTTGTTACTGTCTGTCGGTTTTTTTGGAAAAACACAAACCGTGTTTTTCCAAAAACACGGTTTCTTGAAGCAGAAAGAAGTACTGATTCTCAGTGACCTGCCAGCACCCAGCACGACATGTATGCTGTTGTCTTATTAGGAACATTTTACTGGTCCTGTAGCATGGCTCTTCTGCTCTCCAGTAATCACAGATGCTCCAGTCAATTCTGGGGTTTGCTGATGGGAAGTAGCCTTTGAACTGTCGATATTCCTGAGAAATCACAAAGCACATACAGGACCCAGTTTTATAAAGCTAATTTGAGTGATAAAACTTACCTTCAATAAAACATTTTATATTGAAAACTGCTACAGAATGATTAGCTCATCATAATTTAGCATTAATTGAAATACCAAATTTTAATCTTTTTTTACATAAATAGATTGAAGTTAAAGGTAAATTCACCTGAAGTTTGTGACAATTTGTATATTTTATGTTTTCTGAACAGAAAAGACATGATTCGCCAAATGATGATTAAAATATTTCGCTGCATTGAGCCAGAACTGAACAACCTAATTGCATTGGGAGACAAAATTGACAGCTTTAACTCCCTTTATATGCTAGTCAAAATGAGCCACCATGTGTGGACTGCACAGAACGTGGACCCTGCTTCTTTTCTAAGTACTACATTGGGAAATGTTTTGGTGACTGTCAAAAGGAACTTTGACAAATGCATTGTAAGTTTAAAAAAAAATAAGAATTATCATTATTACATAAACTAGGTAAATTTTCTTCAATCAAGGGATTTGCAACTTTCTATTGGGAAACTAATGCTTATGTCCCCCAAAGCCTTGAAGAAGGGAGTTGATGTCAGCCTGTTATGTACAGTTAGTTGGGTGGCCCTATGCCAGCTGGTTTCCCATCTGTACTGCAGAACTTGGCAAGTTCTGGCAGCAGCTGCTTAACATCCTCTTGTATCTGATACCTCTTTTTTACTGATTGCTGACCATTGGTGTAGTGAGACAACTGAAAGTCACTTCAGTTTATGGTTGTTCTTTTTATATGTCCTAATTAGAAAATTAATTTGATAGTTGAAATTATTATAATTTATTTTCATAGAATAATAAATTTAATAATTGTATTGCATCCTTTTAACAATAAATTTTCTTGTAATAACTTCCAGTAATCACCATTTTCCTCCTAGTTAAAAAAAAGTATCAGATTTATTATTGTCTGTTAGGTTTTAGTGGGCCTGTAGGAATGAATTGGACTGGTCCTTAAGAAGAGTTTCATTTTATTAATGTACTTACTGTGTAAAAGTGGATATGTATCATTTGAATATTTCTACCATGTAGCCTCTAAGTTATATCCAGCTATTGAATATCCATAGGCTAATGGAAGGTAAAAATTTGAAAGGTAATACAATCCATGTTATTTCTTAATTTTTAAAAAATAATACTTACTGGTGTGGGGTTGTAACTTAGTTGGTATGGTGCTTGCCTAGCATGCAAAAGGCTCTGGGTTTAATTCCCAGCATCACATGCACACATAAAAATCATATTTATTGAGTTTTTTAAAGAATAAAGGCCATCTGTGTCCAATGAAGAGACTTAAATGTCACTCAGTAAGCTTGTTAATTCTGCTTCCCTACAAAATGATTTCACTTGGCATCTAAAATACTCTGAAATTTGACCATCTAAGGTTTTTCCTCCCCACATTGCCCTTCTTCAGAAGTGGTGATAAACCAGGAACTTCTGATTGCACACAGACAGCTGACAGGAAAAGGAGGAGCTACAAAGGCTGAGATAATAGTCCCATGTAACGTGACTGGAATACTAAGTCATAAAAGCACTATTGATTTCGAGAAATAGGAAGTCTTAGTTTTTTTTAACAAGTAAACCATAAGTTCATGTAGTAACTCTTGAGCCCAGTAGAACACAGGATATAGTATCAGGTAGGCTTTGGTCACATTACTTGCCTGTGAGAGAATAAGTGCTTATTAAGTAACAGTTTGTGTAATTAGTAATAGTTTTTTTTTTAAGTTTTTTTTTTTTATTGTGCTGGAGGTACATTGTAGTATTGCAAAAGTTCTTACAATATATCAATTATATCATACTTAAATCCATCTCCATCATTCTCCTTTATCCCCTACCCCTCATTCTTGGAATAGTTTCAACTGGTCTCATTTTTCCCTTACACGCATATGTACAGAGTAATAATAGTTTCTTAAAGAATGGCCATGCTACTCTTAAGACAGGGCTTAGGAGAAATCAAATAACTTAAACAAATTGCCTGCCTTTTGCAACTAAAGGGAAAAATGGTTCCTTATGCTACCTGTCATCCCTCTGTCCTATCTGATTTTAGCTCATGTCTTCTCTTAGTGTCTGGCAGATTGTATGTGCTCAGTGAGTTGTATGTTTTGTTATCTGGGACAAGAGCAGAACCTAAGGCATGAAGAAGTTGAAAAGGTGATAAATAGATCTTATGTGTTGAGCAGAAAGCTTGAATGTTAGATAACTGCAATTCAGCTGTTTCATCTGGCATCCAAGCCCAGACATCTGGTGTTCTTCAAGAACAGGCTAAGAAAGCTAGCCTCATCTGAACTGAAGCTAAATTTGCAAAGTCATTTACACATCAAGTACTACCAAACTGGACTCTGAGGTCCAATACTTTTCTTAACTGTATTCCATTTGCTTTTTTAGGGTTCTTCACTCTGTAGTGATGTAGATTAACACTCTTTAACCTGTGGGAATTGTATGATTTTTGTTAATTTACCACAGATAAACAATGAACGAGTAGTATAGTAATATGTGCCTATTATCAAAATCGAAGTCTTAAGCATTTAATAACCTCCATGTCCTGATGATGGCAATGTAATTGAACAGCCAACTGGAAACAGTGCATACCTAACAGCTTGAGAAAAAATGGGATGGGTTTTGTCAGAACTTTTTCACTGATGATGGTTCTTTTCTTAATGAACGTACTGTTTCTACTCTGTCACAAATCCAGAGAGGACCACTACCCTGAAAATGTTTCATATTAGTATCCAAGTATCTTCACACTATACAATGTGTGTATATGCATGTATACAGAAAACTATCTGCATGCAGTTGAATAAGGAGTAGACCAGCGTTTATAAGTGAGTCCACACTGTGTACCAGGTACAGGTCTAAGCATTTTCATACACTATCTCATCTAACTCTCACACATAACCACCCCACACACACCCTAATGAGAAAGGTGTTTCAGGAAGAAAGTTACTATTCCCAAGTCAATAGTTACAAAGAGACAAAGTTGGTATCCAAATCCAGATGGTTTGGTTCCAGTACCTGCAGTCCTACCACTGCTGCATCTGTTTTTATGCCTCACAGGTATTAATACTGATGGAGTAGAACAGAAAAAAGATAAGTTGAAATGGTTTGCACTGCTCACAGAGCTTTCTATACTAATACTTACATCTAGAAATAATTATTTTTCTAATCCATATGTCATATATTTTTCAACTTAGACTCCCCAAATGGCAGCACAATGAAATTTCAGATAGAAATTGAAATGCTCTGATAGTGCAATTCTTACTATGAGTAGCTCTACATTCCCTGAGAATTACATAGAACCATAATTGAATCCATAGATATTTTTGAACCCAGATATCTAGATTCTGTCTATGAGAGACGTTTCCTTTTATAGTTTGTCACCATACACAAGCATTTGGAGGAACTAACTTAGAATAAGTAACTAATAAATACATGGGAAGCTATGTAATAGAAATCCATATTAGAAATGCTTGTCTTCCCTCTCTTATTTGTTTGGGCAAATAGAGAATTTGTCCAAATGGAAGTTTTAGACTGATAAGAATTGGAAATGGCTATAGTTTTCAAACTTAACCACATGGCCACTAACCAGAAGTAACCTAGGAAGATCCTGTGTGTTATAGTATCTGCTGTGCTCTAACCCCAGCTGGGCAATTGCCCATTTCCATAAATGATAGAAACATGGTACTGATTATTTTTAGTTTGAACACAAACTTGAAGTTCACAATCCTTAGTTGTATCTTGTTTTAAAAATAAATTGGATTTTCCCCCTTGATTTTATTTTCTTAAATAAAACAGTAGAAAAATGTTCTTTAATCTACAGAATTAGTTTTTCTTAGTTACCCCTGTTGTGATTCATCTTCAACAGCTCAAACTGTAAGTCAGCATCCAAAATGTTCTAGGTACCATGAAGTAAACATTTATGATTATGATTTTTCTTCCAAAATTTCTTGACTGTTTCTATCCCCTGCTTTCTGCTTATCTTTAGAGTAACCAAATAAGACAAATGGAAGAAGTTAAGATCTCAAAGAAGAGTAAAGTAGGAATTCTCCCATTTGTTGCTGAATTTGAAGAATTTGCTGGACTTGCAGAATCAATCTTTAAAAACGCTGAGCGTCGTGGAGATCTGGATAAAGCATATACCAAGCTTATTAGAGGAGTGTTTGTTAATGGTAAACTTTTGTTATATTCTAAAGAATTTTTTATATTCTAAAGAATTTAGGTTCTAGCAGGGGAGTACAGGTACTCATATACCCTTGACCAAAGAACGGTCCTCCTCTATCAGGGAAGGTCGTCCTCTTTGACTGAGCATGCAGCTTTGGAAGGGACACCACACATGGAATGGTGAGGGAGTAAGGGAACACCTGCCTAGCCAGCCAGATCAGCCGAATCAACCCTGGGGATCAGTGGGGTGACAGATGTCACAGTCAGATCACCCTCACATCCTCTAAAGAATTTTTGTAAGCCAGGTGTCATGGTACATACCTATAATCCCAGAACTGGGGATGCTGAGAGATAGAAGGATTTCAGTAATTTCAGTAACTTAGAAGTTGGAGGCAAATAAGTTCATTATTCTTCATATTTCATAGTCTTTTTTTTTTAGGTTTTCTGAAATTAAAGATTTCTTAGATTTGAAAAGTAAGCAGTACATACAACTATTCATATAGATCAGGAACCACTTACATTTTAGGGTTCATAGGGTCTTATCACTATGCAAAATTGAAAATTATTTTTTAAACACAAAAAATGAACTCTGAGGTTACATTTGCATTTTAATAAGGGTCTTTTAAAGCTGATGGGCAGTAATGTCTGTATTGCCTTGACAAATCAGCTCACTTCTTTATGATTCAACTTTCTTATCTGTTGCATGAGGGAGATTAGTAGTGTGTAATACTGTAATTCACTGTCTTCTGTGTCAGCCCCTCAGTTGAGTTGGAAACATTTTGCACAAGTTATTTAATTTGAAATAAATTATCTGATTGCATACACTCAGGAATTTTAAAAGCTAAAGAGCCAAGAGGACGTGGAATCATCTCATGAACTACATACAGCATAAATTTAGTGAAAGCAAACCTAGAAGAAAGATAGATAAATTTCATGAATGAGTACTTGTATGATTGGTTTGCCTTTTAAAATTCAAAATTGCTTTGCTTTATCTTATTTTCATTTTTACTCTTCAGACTTTTCAGTGTCTCTCTCCCTCTCTGATACATATACACATTGTGTGTGTGTGTGTGTGTGTGTGTGTGTGTGTGTGTGTGTGTGTGTGTGTGTGTGTGTGTGTTATGGTTTGTTTTTGTTTTGTTTTGTTTTGCAGTGCTAGGGATTGAAAGTAAGGCCTTGCACATGCTAGTCAAGCAGTCTACCACTGAGCTACATCCCCAGTCCATGTTTGTGTTCTTTACACCTAGAGTTTTTATCATATCTTCCACTGTTTTGGAAGCTGCTGAACCCTATAATACTATTTCCTTTCTTGTCAGTTAATATAGATAATCACAACATTTTTAATGACTACAGTCTTCCATGTATCATTATCTACTTTTAAATCTTCTAGTTTCCAGTCTGTCTTAGTATACTTGTCAGATCATTTCCTAGAAATGGAATTTATGGGTCAAAAGATTCCTTTATATCGCAAGGCTATTGCCATATTGTGATACAGAAAGCTTTATACCAGTTTAATGCTGTGAACAGTTGGTAAAAGCTTCCATTACTCTGTGTGTTGTACCAGTGCTGGATATTAATTGCATATTGTCAATCTTTTTATATTTCTTTCCAACTGAATTGGCTATACATAATCTTAGTTTTAATGTACTTCATTGACTTTGTTTATGATGTCTTACTGTACCAGAGTTTTCAAATTTTATGTCACATTTTTCCATCTTTCTCTTTCAGTTTGGACCACTCATTGAAAGTCACAAGATCACAATTATTATTTTTAATTAGCTATATTTTCTTTGGTGCTTATAATATTAATTTATTTGCTTTTTACATAGATACAAAATTGGGATCTAAATTTAGTGTATTCAAAAAGACTAACTGGTTGTTCTTACAGATTTTGAATAATTATTTCCTTACTGATAAGAAAAGTTACCTTTATTGTATATCAGATTTCCATATAGACATGATACCCTTATAGGATGACATTATTATGTTCAGATGGCTGTGAAGACCTTACAATACAATCTTTTTTACTTAGTCCAGAAATGTGCTTAATTCTTAAACTTAGAAATAAAAGAAAATCATATAACTAAATATAGTCACGCTCATACAGAGATTTTTTTTCTGCTTTGATTTTAGTGGAGAAAGTAGCAAATGAAAGCCAGAAGACCCCGAGGGATGTGGTTATGATGGAAAACTTTCACCATATTTTTGCAACTCTTTCCCGTTTGAAAATCTCATGTCTAGAAGCTGAAAAAAAAGAAGCCAAGCAAAAATACACAGATCACCTTCAGTCTTACGTCATTTACTCTTTAGGACAACCTCTTGAAAAACTAAATGTAAATATATTTTCTTTCATTCAGTATTTTTCCTGGCTTTGAACCTGTACGCCTCTGTTTGCATATAAGTAACATACAGATATTTATCTTAAATTTGCTGGTGTACTGACACAAGGGATGGGGAAGGAGGGACTCACACTGTGTGCCAGACACTGATGGATGGCCTGTGTACAGCATTCCTTTTTAATTCTTGTAAATACTGATGTAGCTAGGTATAGTGGTACATACCAGCTAGTTGGGAAGCTGAGATAGGAGTATCACAAGATAGAGGCCAACCTGGGCAACTTAATGAGATGTTATCTCAAACTAAAATTTAAAAATAAGTAAGCTAAAACAGTGAAATGAGCTATGATGGTATTATCCCACTTTACAAATGAAACTAAAAATAAATAAAGTTGTCTAATGTCACAGTGATTTGTGGATAGCAAGCTGGAGGATGCACTAGATTGGGCTTCTTCATTATCTCAGGTTCTTTTCATTTCTTCTTCATAAATGGCCAATTGTAATCCTAGTTCAGGTGAAGATTTCAAAAACCTCCTCAAGATAAAGCCAAAACGTGTTTTGTGCATTGCCTTTTCCTTTCTTTTCTGACTTGAGTCATTTCCCAGAGTAAGTCTAATAATTAAAGTTGAGAAATGGTGGTTTTACTCTCTTATTGCAGAATCTAGACATAAAAAAAATGGATGATGGGGACTGTTTGGGGGTGGGAATGAGAGGGAGGAGAGAGGGCAAAAAGAGAGGCTTACATGGGGGGCAAATATGATTAATGCACTCTATATGCATGTATGAAAATATGAAACTATTACAAATTGCTTAAAAAGGGGTAAAGGAGGAAGAATAAAGGGGAGTAATAGAGGAGGTGATTTTGATCAAGGTACATTATATGCATTTAGAAGCACCACAATGAAACTCCTTTGTACAATATTTGCTAGTAAAGAAGTGGGAGTTTTAGAGAAATTATGCAACATAGCAGAGGCTTAAGTGGACCCTTCTAACTAACTTTGTCCACAGTGTGATTAGTCATTTTATAAATTTTTAATTTGCAATTAGAAACTAAAGAATATGTATCTGTTACCAATAATTCAAAGAAATACCTAAAAGACATTTAATTAAATGTAGAACCAATTCCTTATAAAACGTAAAAACGTGGAGCTGGGTTTGGTGGACATGCCTCTAATCCCATCTACTTAGGAGGCAAAAGTAGGGATGATCACAGTGCAAAGCCAGCCCAGGAGAAGCTAGCAAGAGGCCCTATCTGTAAATCAAAACTAAAAGCTAAGGAATCGGGGGCCTAGCAAGCACAAGTCCCTGAGTTCAATCCCAGCACTAAAAGTACACACACAAACAGGTAGATACTTTAATTGGATAAAAGGTCTGTCCTGGCCTAAAGCACATGTATGCTTAACTTCAGCTTTAAAGGCATTTGCTTTTAAATCAAATGTAAAGCAGATCCTTGATCTTCCAACAGTATTACTGAAGCTCTAGCTTTGCAATAAGGACTGAAGCATAAATAAGAACTAGAGAAGGGAAAATGGGATTATCATTTTGCCTTTATATATGTTAATTACTTATTTCTGATAAAGTAGCAACATTCAAAATAAGTATTAAAAATTTGTTTACTTTTTATAAGTAATAGCCAATTAAAATCTTTTGTAGATACAAAAGTTTTAAAAAACAGGAATAAAAATAATTTAATGAAAAATAAATAAATAAAAAGTGATGAGAGGGCCACACATCGATAACTCATTCCTGTAATCCTAGCTACTCAGGAGGCAGAGATCAAGAGAATCACAGTTTGAAGACAAACTAAGCAAATATAATTCATGAAACCCTCTCTAGAAAATACTCAACACAAAAAAAGCCTGGCCAAGTGGCTCAAGTGGTAGAGTGCCTGCCTAGCAAGTATGAGGCCCTCAGTTCAAACCCCAGTACTGGCAAAAAAAAAAGTAATGAGAGGATATTGGGCTTGTCTGTATTAAGTCATACTGTATCATGCTAAAATACAGGCATGCCAGTCAAAGACAAGTATACATTTAAAAGACAACCTGAGAAAAATATTTGTAAGAATACAATAATGTATTTAACATAAAGATCTTTTAAAAATCAGTAAACAAAGCACCAAGACCCCAATAGGCAAAGGGCCTGAAGCACTACTAAACATTTGGAAGCAAGTTAATTTCACTTACAGCTCAAGAATTATGAAATAAAATGACAAGCCCATTTTCCCTTGAGTAATGGTTGTTTTAAATTCTAATAATGCAAGGTATTGGTCTCATACGCTGTTGACAGAAATATAAATGGATCGAACTTCCCTGGGAAGCACTTAGTACCCATGAACATCTTCAGCATAGTTATACATTCCCCCTTTGAGTTGTTAGAGAAATGTATACTAGAAAGTAATCAACATTGTGAGTAAGTACTTATATACAAATGATATTTATGGGAATCGTATTTATAATAGATTTTGAGAAATAGGACTGGATTTTTCCATCTCCCAAAAAAGGAAGATTATAAATATCCAATAATGTAGGAATGAATAAATAGTGATTCAGTCATTGGATAGAATATTATGTGGTCATTGAAACTCATATGTAAAGGCTGGAAATGTAGCTCAGATGTAGAGAGACCTGGGTTCAATCTCCTGAACTGCAAAATAAAATTGTACTTAAGAAAAAAATAAGACATGTAAGTCAGTAGTTAGAGTGCATACGTAGTGTGAGCTGTGTTCAAATTCCCAGCACCAAAAAATTTTAAAATGAAAAATATAAATGGAAATGCAGCATATGAAATTATAATTTCATTTGTGTACTCATATCAAAAGATTTAAAAGATTAAAAGGAAATTAAAATATTAATGATTATCATAGAATAATATAGTATGTGGTTATTCCTTTATACTTTCACACATTGTTTAGTTTTTATACAATGAATATAAACTATTTTATAATCCTGTTTTTAAAAAACTGTAAGTGGTTATAAAAGTGGTTCTTAGCTATTATTTCTTTTCATTTCCTTGAAGCATTTCTTTGAAGGTGTTGAAGCTCGAGTAGCACAGGGTATAAGAGAAGAGGAAGTAAGCTACCAACTTGCCTTTAACAAACAAGAATTGCGTAAAGTTATTAAAGAGTATCCTGGAAAGGAAGTGAAGAAAGGTCTCGATAACCTCTATAAGAAGGTTGATAAACATCTGTGTGAAGAGGAGAACTTACTTCAGGTATGCTTCATTCTCTGACCATCCTGTCCTGAGGGACATTGCTTTTCTCCACAGTACTCCTCTGTAAGTGCCACACATGTCCTAATTGTTGTACAAGAAAGTTCATACAGTATAAAGACCTCATTAATGAATTGTGAAGAAGAAAGCAGTAATATTTATATAATATGATCGTTTCAGTCAATTTATTAGTATTTTACTGTGGTGAGGCATTAAGTCAGAGTGTGGAGTAGTTCTGAGTGTGCAGACTGGAATTAAAAATGGATTTATAATCTGGATCTGGATTAAGATGCATGATTTGGAGCATAGTAATTAACCTCTCTGAGCCTCAAGTTCCTTATTTAAAATGGAAATCATGCATCTGTCATACAGGCACTACCATTACTGTCATTGCCGTTTTATAGATAAGAAAATGAAAGCTTAAGAGGTAGAGCAATGTGACAATGATCTCATAGCTAATGGGTGATGGAGCCATATTTAAGCCCTGAATTAATCTGTTCTCGCGGCCTGTGCAAGCTCGTCCTAGGAACCTAACTGGGAGCGACAGGAGATTGAGAAAAGACAAAAGACAAACATGCAAAAAAGCTGGGATCGGGTGGGCTGGACGCTCTGGTTGAGACACACACAGCCTCCACCACCTCCAGCGAGTTTATTATATACAGTGGCAAACCAGGAAGTAGAGCAACAGTTCTGGGGGAGGGGAGGCATGACATTGTAGTTATCGGGAGCAGGGGAACCTGCGATCTCTGCACACAAACATCTTAGGAAAAGCAGCTGTGCTGCATTTTGCCCTCGCCCCCTTCTGCAGCTGGAGGCTGTGCCCATCCCAGCCTGCAGACATGGCTGTGCTTATGTCAAGTTCTCAGGCTTCTCATTCTCTGCTCTCCACAGTCTGCTCTTTGTGAAGCATAGAGGCCAAAGACGAATGAAAACAATCCTGATTTAAACATTATAGAGGCCTCATGAGAGGCACTGCTTTTGTGTTAACTTCTGAAAATCAAATAGTGCTTACATATGTATGTACACACACACATATGAGGGGTGGTACTGGGGTTTGAACTCAGGTCCTTCCTCTTGCTACCCAGGCATTTCTATTTGTGTCACACCACTAGCCCTTTTTGCTTTACTGATTTTTCAAATAGGGTCTCACTTTTTGCCCACACCACCTGGAGTCTCCTACTTACCTCTCCCATGTCAGTGGAATAACAAGCACACACTACACATACCCAGCTTATTGGTTGAGATGGACTCTTGCTTCCTCCCGATCTCCTCCTCTCAAGTAGCTGGGGTTTACAAGCGTGAACTATGGTGCCAGGCTCACGTAACACAGGACTTTAACAAAGTGGGGAGTGGCCTCCAGATGGAAGAAACAGCATGAGCTAAAAGATGAAAACAACACAGTATGATCCTGTTCAGGGAATAGTGACAGGAATTTAGGATTTATGCAGTTCCCAAGGAAAAAATCTTAGAAGAATATGTCCCTCCAACTGTAAAATAGGGACGATAACGAGTACCCACCTCTCCAGCTCCTCATGAAACTTTTTTTTTCTTGTGGGACTGGGGATCAAACCCAGGGCCTTTCTGCAGGTTAGGCAAACACTTGCCCCCTAAGCTACATCCCCAGTCCATTCACAAGACTTAGATGGGATAATATATATGTAATGCACCTTGCACTGTGCTGATGCAGAGTAAGCTTCAATAAATACAAGCTATTAGATCAATGTGTATCCAATTCTGTCTGCATGTTAGTCTCTACTGCTACATTATAAATTACGTGTTTGCAGATAATGGGTCTGGCTTATCTTGGTGTCCTCCATAGCATTGAAGCACTATTTTTCATCATAGGTTATAGAGGAAAAAAAATTTAAACTTCATCTAAAATGAGAATTTAAACATTAACTCTCGCATTTAATTTAATCACTGGTCTGAGTTCAAGTATCCACAACAGATTGTGAATACTCACATCTTGTGTCAAACTATCCTAAACACCATGCATATAATCACTAGTTTAACCCTCACAAGAAATCTAGGAGAAGAAAGTATTATTAATAATGTATCTATAGGTGAGGTACTTACTGTAGTCACAGAGCAGTGATGTGATGTGCTTGAGGTAGAAGGTCTAGGATTCTGGCTCTAGACTGCATGTTCTTAACTACATACTATCCCAAATTCTTAGACTGTGCTTGGCACTATTTCTGTATGCTTGATTATGAATTATTTTCATTCATGGTTTAATGGCTTTATTTTCTTTTTAATAACAGGTGGTATGGCACTCCATGCAAGATGAATTTATACGCCAATACAAGCACTTTGAAGGTTTGATAGCTCGCTGTTATCCTGGATCTGGTGTTATGATGGAATTCACTATTCAGGACATTCTGGATTATTGCTCCAGCATTGCACAGTCCCACTAAACCTTGTGAAAGAAGAAGAGATAAACAAATGCAGCATTCTCAGTACACCAGACGCTACCTAAGAAAAGCAAAACAACCGCTTTGAGAACCCAGACTTCAACTTTTATGTATTATTAAATGTCAGATAAATGTATTATACTACAAATATCTAACTGCAAAAGTACTAGCCTGTATGTGGCAGTTTTATTTTCCCAGTAGGTTGTGTACTAAACTTAAAGCATGTATCTCATCTGAAATACCTTAAACATTTTTAGATGAGTGAACAGAAAATCCCTTTATTGCTTAGCTTCTTGTGTTTGAGAGTGGTTATGCTATGTGTAACACATTGGGAGTTCTTCAGCAATTCACTATTTCCCTATTGCTTACAAATTATTTAACCTGTTGTACAGAATTGTTTTGTCCCACTGTCTAATAGGTGTGTATAGAGATAAGGGAGCTCATGTAAAGATAGTTGTAAACTTAAGGTTTGAGGATGATGTGCCGATGTAGCAGCAAGTCTGAAATAAAGAAGTTTTTAAAAAATTAGACATTATTCTTAGATATTCACATGCTGTGTTCTATATGAAAGCAAATTCTTACAAAATCAGTATATAAAAGTTAATTGCAAGTCCACATATCACAAAAGCACTTAGAAGTATAAGGTAATAAGACAATAACAAGAAACATTTATAATAACATCAAAGATACATAGTATTTAGGATGTAATATAAGAAGAAAAGTGCTATGGACTGAATTGTGCACCCCTCCCCACCAAATTCAAATGTTGAAGCCCCAATTCTGTATGTGACAATATTGGAGATAGGGCCTTTAAGGAAATAATTAAGGTTTAATGAAGTCATAAGGATAGAGACCTGGTCTAGAACTGGTACCGTTTAAGATCAGGAAGAGTCACCCCAGTGTGTTCCTTCTCTGTTATCTCCATCTCCATCTCTATCTGCCATAGGAGGAAACAGCAAGAAGTCAGCTTGTTCTTGAAAGCCAGGAAGAGCATCCTCACTAGTACCTGACTGTATTGGCATTCTAACCTCAGAAATTCATCCTTCAAAACTAAGAGAATAAATTGTTTAAGCTACCCAGTTTATGATATTCTATTAGGGCAGCCTGGGTTGATTGATTTTTTTTAATCTGTTCTTTATAGAAAAAATTATGAAACTATCAAAAAGTGTTGAAGAAGGTCTAAACAGTAACTGGAACAATAGAAAAGGCAGTTCCCAAATTTAGAGATTGTCACAGGTTGAGGCAGGAGGATCTTCAATTTGAGGCCAGCCTGGCATGCATAGCAAGTCCAGGTCTAAAATAAAATAAAGAAAGAAAATTCAGTGCAATTCCAGTCAAAGTCACAACTGGTTTAGTTTGGTTTCTATGGGACTTGACAAGCTGATTGTAAAATTTATATGGAAGGGAAGAAATGAACTTAACAGACATCTATAGAGTATTCCATCCTACAGCAGCAGATCACACATTTTATTCAGCAACCTATGGAACTTTATTCAAAATAATCACATCCTAGGTCATAAAGCAAAATCCCAACAAATACAAAAAAAAAAAAATTAGAATAATCCCCATATCCTAACACACTGTAATGAAGTAAAATTAGAAATCAATGGCAAGAAAAACTGTAAAAAACAAACTCATAGATATTGAATAACAAAGTTGAAGAAATTAGGAAAGAAATTCCTAGATTGAAATGAAAATGAGAATACAACTTACCAAAAACTGTGGGATACAACAAAAGCAATCTTAAGAGGAAAGTTCATAGCTATAAGCACCCATATCAGAAAAACAGATCTCAAACAACCTCATGATGATGCTCCTCAAACTCAGAAAAACAAGAACAAGTCAACCCTAAAAATAGTACATGGAAAGGAATTATAAAAAAAAAGCAAAAATTAATAAAATGGAGACCAAAATAATACAATGAAACAAAACGTTGGTTCTTTTAAGAAGATAAACATGAGCAACAAACCTTTAGCCAAACTAACCAAAAAGAAGAAAGAAGATCCAAATTAACAAAATCAGAGATGAAAGGGGGGATATTACAATAGACACCAATGAAATTCAGATCATATGAATATTTTGAAAACTTACACTGCAACAAACTAAGAAATCAAGAAGAAATTGATAAATTTCTCCACACAACCCACCAAAATCAAACCAAAAGAACATAAGCATATAAACATCTATAACAAGTAATGAGATTAAAAGTTACAAAAATCTCCCAACAAAGAAAAGCCCAGGCTCAGATAGATTCACTGCTAAATTCTATCAGACCTTTAAAGAAGCAATAACACCAATGCTCCTCAAACTATTCCAAAAAATACAAAGAGAAGGAACACTACCAAACTCATTCTATGAAATGAGTATTAATAACAAAACCAGGTAAAGATCATCAAAAAAATTATAAGCTAATTTCCCTGATGAACATACATGCAAAAATCCTCAATAAGATACTTGCAAACCAAATCCAACAACAATGAAAAATTAATACACCATGATCAAGTAAGTTTTATTCCAGGGATGCAAGGATGGTTTGATGGTTCAACATATGCAAATCAATAGCCAACACCATGCTAAACAGTTAAAAAAAAAAAAGCTGAAACCATTTCCTCTAAAGTCTTAAACAAGACAAGGGTATCCATTCTCTCTACTCTTACTCAAATTTTTAGCCAGAGCAAAGGGGAAAGAAAGAAAGAAAAGGGAAATAAATAGGAAAGGAAGATAAATTATCTCTATTTGTAGATGATATGACCCTGTACTAACCCTGAAAACACTATGGTCAGATTAAATTTCCTCCTTAATACCTCACAATGAGGATTCAATTTCAACACATGAACCCTTGGGTGACATGCTCAAACCATATCTAAACATTAAGAAGTCTCCAATATGAAAGGCAAAAATTATAAAACTTTTAAAAGATGGTATAACAGAATACCTTGAGCCAGCATGTTGGTTCATACCCATAATCACAGCACTGGGGAGGCTGATACAAAAGGCTCATGAGTTCAAGGCCAGACTGGGCTACATAGCAAGATCCTATCTCAAAAAATACTATCTTTTTAATCTCAGAATTGGGATTTTGTTAAGATGTAAATTTATAGATCAAAGGAAAAACATTCAACTGTTAAGAACTTGTGATCATCTTTCAATGAAGGTCAAGAAATTGAGAGATTGATAACTGCAACACATGTAACAAAGCAACCTAATTCCTAAAACTCAGCTAAAAATATAGACAAAAGATGTATACAGGTGTTTCACAGAAGGAGGAATATAAAGTGTTCACCTCTGTTGTCAAGGAAATGTGAATTAAATATTTTAGATATAAAGTCACCAAAACACAAATGCTTGTAGGAAAAGTCATAAGTTGGTCTAATTAGTTAACCATTTGACATTATCCAGTAAAATTAAAAATGCATGTCACCTGTGATACCAGTCCCCTACTAGAGAAGTGCTCCAGAGAGAAGATCTGAACCCTAACTACACATGAGATGACCTGTTGTCCTTGTCAAATACAGGTGCCTGGTCCCCACACCCATGATTACATTGTAGTTGGTCCAGGTTAAAACCCAAGCATCTATGGTTCTTTTATTTATTATTATTTATTTATTTATTTTTGGTGGTAATGGGTTTGAACTCCAGGCCTCAAACTTGTGAGGCAGATGCTCTACCACCTGAACCACTTTACCAGCCCTGTTTTGTGTTGGGTATTGTGGACTATTTTCCCAGGCTGGTTTCAAACTGTGATCCTCCTGATCTCTGCCTCCTGAGTACCTAGGATTACAGGCATGAGCTACTGGTGCCCGGCTTGCACCCATGATTCTGATATCCAGAAGTATTAAGAACCACTGCCATAAAGAAATTTATGTACTTACACATTAACACGAAGTCTTAACAAGGATCCTGCCAGTACTTTTGTTTTCAATAACAAAAAACTATAACAACCTAAATGTCCATTGGTGCAAGAGTGGATAAATGAAAGTATATTCATTCCATGGGGCATCAATTAAGAAGTGAAAATAAATGAGTTTCAGCTGCACACAACTCAGATCAATACCAGGAAAATAATGTCAGGTAAAAGAGGTAAATAACAAAAGAATATATATAGTATGATTCTATTGATACACAAGTTCAAAACCCTGCAAAATTAACCAGCATGTGGTTTAGGGTAGCAAATACCAAATCAAAGAAAAACAAGGGAATGATCACAAAATTCCAGAGGGAGTAAGAGGCAGGAAAGAAAGTAGATGGGACTAACATGGACCCAGTATTTAAAAGGCAAACATATGGCTCATTTATGTAACCTGAGTAGCAGGTAGATAGATCCCATTGTATTTATGTCTTAAATATATACCATTTAAGTCAGTTATAAGTTCAACATTTAATTGAAATCTTAAATTCGCATATGCTTGCATATACATCTTTATTGACATAGAATAAAAAACTGGACATTTATCAATGACAGTCTGGGTTCCAAGAAAATCAGAAATTTGATCAAGATCACTACAGAATTGATATTCCACACCCAAACTCACTTTTGAAGTGCTAGACTTCTGTTTTCCTCTGCTGTAACATAGTTACATAGATATCACATTGGAGGCCCTGACACTGTCTAACATCCCCATCAGCAGGCAAAGGTTAATTCTAATCAAGGTGCTTTAACTCTTAAAAGTAGTGCATTCCTGCCATGAGCTGGTTTTCTGCAACTTTAAGATCTGTTCTCATGACCAGCATGAGCAGGTCCCTCGACCTGACTGGGAGTGACTGGGGATTAAGAAAAAAACACAAAGACAGACATAGAGAAAGCTGGGGTCCAGTGAGTCCGGCACTCCTGATGAGAGATGCTGGTGACATCCTCCACCTCCAAGCACATTTATTTATACAGCATGTGTGAGAAAGCGGGGTGAAATGCAGGTTGAGTTCTCATGGGTCCAGTCACATAGGAGGCAGGAACAGCACATCTGTGGAATGTTGTCATTTAGTACAGACTATCCTGACTAGGTCAGTATGTCCTGTTTTTCTTGCAAAGCAGCCTTGCTGAACCTTGCCTGCCCTTGGCTGGGTCTGTACCTATCAGCCAAGAGGCCCTTGATGTAGCCGTGCTCATTTCAAGGGCTACTTCCACTGCCTCAGTCTGCTTACTTGCAAGGCAGCCTTGCTGAACCTTGCTCACTTCCTTCCTGCCAGTGCCTTGCCTTCAGCACAAAGGACCTTGACATGGCTATGCTCCTATCAAGGTTTCTTCTGAGTCTATTTAGCTACTGGTCTCCCACAATCTATACTATTATTTGCTAGCAGGGATAGAGTGAGGGGAACATAGTAATTCTAAACAGACTATTGAAAATCATAAGAGAATATGTGCACATGAAAAGGTACCAAGGAAGTAAAAAATAGCTCTGCCATGAAAGTTAAACACGTGCTATCAGAGTGGTATCAAAGAGGTAAGATTCTCTTAGCTCTCTGTTTCAGGATCCTCCACAGCAGCACTTTTAAATGTTTAACATATTTAAGAA